GTGAATGAAAGGTAAAATGTCACTTACATGGATCGCTATCATACTCGCTGGTGGACATCCGATGTTTTGGAATAAAATACTTGCCTTATTGCCTCTTCAGCACCAGTCTGGATAACATTACAAAATGAAGCACCCAATTTATTCATAAAATTACGACCTTATGTCACGAATGAGTTGAATCTGCTCATGTCATGGATGACAGTACATAATGACATTCATTCGCTTATTTGATTAAATTCCACATGAATTTGGAATTGTTTTCTTTGTGCTTTTGCTGTTGTAGAGAACTTAAACATTTTTTGTAAATCTTTCTTTTCCAAAATTTAATCTCTTAAAAATGTACCCTTTTCAATTTGGACATCTTCAGTAACAAAATTAATAACATTCTGAATTATAATCGATTTACATTTAAAAAATTACCACATGGTGAAAATATTTTCATTACGAAAATGTGTCAAAAGCAAGTATCTCAATTTGTATGAGCAAAGTTTTTGATAGTAGTTTCTCTTTTTCACTCATCAATGGTGCCTGACTTGAATGTATTAGTTACCAGTTGTTGCCCGCGGCTTCCCCGCTTAGAATTTGGTTTGTGACTGACCATTTCAAACAAATAGTTACAATATTTTGTATTAACCCAACTTGAAAACTGATGAAATTCAATACAGTTTTTGAACCCCTAATTTTTCCCATTGGGGTGGAAATTTCTGATTCCCTTTCTTGATGCTTATTTACGCTATACAAAGAACCTACCTACCTCTCCACGTTAACAAAGGGCAGGTCTTCATTTATGCAGATGATTCAACAATTATATTAACTGTTAACGAAACATTTGACTTGAATGATAAAAAACTAGTAGTGTAGAACTTCACTCAATTGTGTGAGAGAAAATCAGTAGTCCTCAAAAACACTTCAAGAACATGAAATTCAACTTAGGCCACACTTAGCATTAGAAAGCATGAAATTCCTTGTTATGAAGCTGAATTACAAATTAACCTTCAACAACCAAATTAAAAACATATGTAAAAAACTGAATAAACTGTATTATACTTTTACTAGTCTCAAATCGAACTTTCACAGAAACCACTTGATTACATGCGGTAGGTTAACTGAAGTATCACGAGTGTTCATTTTACAAAAACGATTTATAAGACTCATTTTTGGCATGGATCATAACGAATCTTGTAGAAATACTTTCAAGCAAGAAAATATTCTAACGTGCGTTTACCTATATAAGTTATAATTTATACATTTAATAATAAAGATAAATTTACAAAAAATAGCGCGATCTTCACGAGCACGATACTAGATATATAAACAACATGCACCTAATTTAATTCAACAAAACATGGTACATAAAATCTTCCCTGTATGGTGGAGGATACTTTTATAATCTGCTTTAGCAAAAAATTTAAAAATTTTCAAATCCGACCTAAAGAATGTTTTGCTCCATCACTCCTTTTATTCGCTATATAACTGAATACATTGAGTTGAATATTAGAACTACATGCAATAACCTATAGACACATTTTTAACGCTTTTAATTAGGTACATTTTATTTTATATTTTCAACAAGTTTTGTAAATAGTTGGCATCCAACTCTAGACTTATATTTGAATATTGTATGTTCCATCAAATACTTGGTTTTGTTATGTGTATATAAATACCTGACTACTCAAACTATTATATTTATCTTATCTTTATGAATACCATTGGACTTATGTCATGTAAATGAGTTATGGAGATTAATAAAATTATCTATCTATCTATCAAAATTTAAGGTTCATTATAGCTTCGGCTGTACATTAATATCAGTTCCGGCAACAGCTAGTATTTTATATTTTCATTTTGAAAATACAATAACTGAAATAATATGACAACTGCTATAAGTAATGAATAACTTTGATGTCGAATTATGTTACCTATAAAGAAATTTGCAAAACTATCACAACCGTCAACGACGTCTGCCCGCGTTCTCGGCGATGGCGCTTCATTGCTTAAATCGCCCCTCTTCCCCCGCGTATCATCTACCATTGTCTTACAGTAGACGCGACGCGTAATGGCTTACTATGTTGCGTCAAGCTACTTTTTTATCGTGATAACTTTCAAACGATTCGTACAAATTACTATGCAAAATCAACACTGGATTTCAGGAACGTTATTGGCAATTCACAGAGATGTCATCATCCCAACTGATGATGTTATAACAGAATTTGCCCATAATTAGTCTAGAAGGCTTGATTTTATATTGTGAATTCATTGAACTGGAAATTTGAGGTTTTTAGTTTTAAAAACAAATATTTTATACAGTTTTTTCAGTGGAGGGTTTTTCCCGTACCAATTTAATGGTAATTAATTGAATTTAAATTAGCAGGTCTTTTTTATTGAGACTCCCCTCACCGAAACAAAAATCTGGGCACGGCCTTTTGTAGGAGTAACTTTTGCAAAATGTTATACAAAGTGTTCGGAATCGATGACTAACTCTGAAGATATAAAAATGGGCCAAAACTAAATTTTTTCAAATGGAATAATGAATACCTAGTTTTGAGATCTATTCATCGGGATAGATCTAAACTATTTACCTTTCTAGGAACAACTAATGAAACTGGAGAATAATAAATATAATTTTTACCTGAGCCATCATTTTACCTAGTTTTAAGATCTATCATCATGATAGATCTTAAAAAAAAATTGGAGAAAAAAATGGTTTTTTGCCAATTTTTCAAGTTAACAAAACTGAATGAATCTGTGCAGTTATTCAATCTTCCATCAACGAGTGCAGCACCTCACCAATATTTCAACCTATTACGACAATTTTTACCACCAGCTCTAGAGGAATTGCTCAACACAATATTCTACAAGTGCAAAAATTCTTGTATTTCGCGATGTAGATGTAGGAAAACAGGGGCAGTGCTTTTTAGCTTGTAGCCAGTGAAATGAGCAAGCATGTCTCAATGCTTTACCATATCAGAGTGATGTCAATGAAGACGGTACCTACCTCTGACTCCGAAATTCTGGAAGGACTCAAGACATGAAAATGTCGTTGAAGTCGAAAACGAAAAGAAATTTCAAATTTTACAGCGAGCGGAAGACGATATATAATGAAGAAGAAAAAAATTGAAATAAGAACTTGTAGTTCTTATTATTTTTGTATATGGATAGTCTATATACAAAAAGTTATTATTCATTATTTTTTCAATTTCAACGTTCATGAATGTATGAATGGTATTCTTTCAATAAAAACATTATTTGAAAATTAAATTATTTTTTTTAGTTAGGAAGTAATAAGAAAAAATTTCTACCAAAAATTATTTAATAGAAACATATAAAAGAAGAAAGTAATAATAATTATGAAATAATGGAACAACAAAAAATAATTTGCGCTCCGGGGCGACTTGATTGATTCCACTGGGGCATTTGCTTTTTTAGCTGCAGGAAAACCCGAAAAAAACCTGCAGCACCACATCATATGAAGATCTTTATCTGCCAATTATCTCTTTTATAGAACAAAATGTAGGGTATCTCCAGAGGCTCCAATAAATTCAAGATATTACCAGAATATTTAGTGACACGACTATTGTCAAACTTCAACCAGTCCGTTTTGTCTTTGACCAATGTGTAATAATTTCAATGACAGGACCAGAGTGAATAACGACTGCATGAAGATTATAATAGTGGTGTGCTAAATTGAAGTGTTCATCTTTTTCGAACCTTTGTAAGAGTTTGGTGCTTCCGTCATCAGAGGTTGAGTCATGTTTGAAGATCATCAGCATTATTATTAGATTGACTGGGGCCTTAGTTATTCTTGTTGTCCTATAATAGTCAGTTAGTTTGGTGCATATTTGGCAAACAGTTGATCATCACCCGTTGAAAGTTCTATTTTCAGATGATTCGACAATAAGCTTTGCACGGAATAGTTATCAGTCATATTAGGAAACTCTGGTTGATGTTATAGAAAGTCACATACGTTTGCGCTACCTCTTGAACATGTACTACAAAGTAAACCAGTGATGATTTTCCCAGCAAAAGATCTACAACCACAAGACGCGATAGACTGTACGGAATCATTCAATCCAGAGTGGTCAGGAGTATTGGTTCTGCTATTTTCCTGCTTACGAACAGTATTCAACAAGAATCCCAAGAACTCGGAACAATCCTCTTGTTGTCCTAACGAGTATCTAGTGGACTTTAAAGACTCTAGGAAATCGGTTGGTGGGAAAGATGATACATTCTTATGAAACTGCATCAGCTGCATCAACAAGTTTTGAGTTTGGTGAATAAGTTGGAAATATTCTCGTTCTCGTTGATCGTTGAAACCTCGTTCTTGAAATTCTTCGTCATGAACAACACTTGTAAAATGCTATTCATCTAGCAAGTGTTTCTAAAATTATCTAATCCAATTTTTTCGCAAGATTTTCAAGTTTAATCTTCCTCTTGAAGATGATTACTTGGTTATCAAAAAACACGTGTCGAGGTGTTAAAATAACGGTTTGGTGTTGGGATAAAACTCCAGTAATATTCATTTGTTCTCATTAATTTCAATAATTTTGGAATACAATTACAAACAAAACAACTAACGAAATTAAAAAACAGTCCCTAACTAGAGAATCGTTGATTTATTTGTATTAGTTTAGGCGTCAATTCAGATCCAAAACAAACCTATTATAGAGGAATCTATACTAAAACCAATAATGATTGAGAGTAGAAGTAAGCCCAGTTGACAGCAAATCGGGGGCGTGCTTATTAATTTTTGAGAGGGTTAAGAATGAAAGAAAAATTCTTAGTACAATTAGTTAAAATATTCATACACATTTTTTATTAAAACTGTAATTCCACGACTTAACGCCATTTCATCCACTGCGAATTTTTTATATTTGTCTGTGAGTAATTTTGTTAGCTGAAGTAGTTTTGCCTTTAAACTATCTTTGTTAGGTATATTGGATGTTCTTATTAATTTACCATTCTTGAATTGCTGCTTTTTTCCATGATTGTTTCGGTAATGGTTATAAATGTCGACTATGGTATGGGGCATTGTCCATGACGATGACAGACCCAGGTTCCACAAGTTGAATGATGCCTTCAAACCATTTTTCAAACACCTCCGCATTCATCTCTTCATGATAGTCGCCTGTTTTCTTAGATTTAAATATTAATTCACCATTTGGTAAAAATCCACTGTCGCTTCCTATATGCGTAACTATCAGACGACTACCTTTTCCAGATGGCTGTTTTAACCCAACTGACAAACCTTCAATAAAGGCTTGTCGTGCACTTGTTATATTACCATCCTGCCATACTTTTTTGACCGTGTGTCCTTGGTTAACCCATGTGTCGTCCATGAAGTACAATTTTTTTTTGAGCTTCCGAAATTCGTCAATTTTTCTTAGATAGTTTCTTCTCCATGCTATTATTTCTTGACGTTCAATGAGAATGCTTTTCCTGTCAACTTTTCCGTACGTAAATTTCATTTCGTGTACAAGTTTCCTAAAAGTTTCTTTACCCATTTTTGGAACCAATTCATGATCGCTAAGTGTCTCCAGAACTGTTTGTAGTGTGGGCAGCTCATTTCTGAAAAAGAAACTGAATAGTTCTGCGTATACTGGTTTTGGCTTCTTCATCAACTGTGATTTTTTTTCGTCCGCTACTAGTTTTTGGCGTTTGTACGTCCCCATGAATTTCTTCTTCTCTTAGTATTTTGTAAATCGATGATTTTGGTACACCGGTATAATCAGAGCACATATCAACTAATTTATCTTTTGTAATTGTGGAACTTAATGATGTAGAAATGCCCGGTTGGTTATTCGGAGGTACACACGTAGAATTACAGCACATATGCACAAAGTCATATTTTGGTGGCTGATGATCTCTTTCAAGACAGTGAAATACTCGCAGTACAATTTGTTTTTCTCTTACTGACCGAGACTCCGACCGTTTTACCTTTTTCGACGTGGAAGGCTCGACCATGTCTCCCATTTTTTGAGTAGTTTGAGAACGGTGTAGAAATATAATTATGTAACGCTTAAACACTTATTAGCACTATTATTTTCACCAATTGTTATCACAACACGTCGATTGCTGACTAACTTAACTGTAAAACGTACAATTCACGCTGTATAATTCACAAACTAATGATACGCTCATGGCTGCAAGTACATTAGTGAGGACTGCAACGATGAGATGGAAGTTACGGTAAAGTGACAAAGACAGAAATATCGTTGCGTACAGCGTTGCCACTAGTTGTAATAAATATCTAACACTATACTGAAAATAATGAATTTTAACTGATCAGTAATCAGGAAATGTATAAGTATTACTCATTACAAGCTCATTACTGATTTTTGTTATAAATAATACCTTTTAATCGTACTAGTATTGTGTATTATCTATAATTTGCCACAACCTACAACTCTACTGCTTACCATATTTTGATTCTGCTATAAACTGGTAACGTAAAATTTAGATATGACAACGCGCTTTACTCTCAATCATTATTGGTTTTACAGGAGAAATAGACATTTCCGTTGGCAGCACTGATAAAATTTTAATGTTTTAATATAACTGCCTTTTACATGATTCGATACTTGTATTGTATTTGAAGTTTCGTTATAGCTGGAATAATTATAGTTTGAAAATTATCAAATTTTAAATCTCCAGGTAGCGCAGTGTGGCAGTGCCAAAAATGAATAGACAAGAAATACAACGTAACATATTTTACTCAGACAGATATTATGATGGTGAATATGAGTACCGGTTAGTTTATATTCTGTTTTATATTTCCGTCAAATTAGTATGTATATTCAATATTTCAGGCATGTGGTCCTTCCCAAAGAGATGGTTAAATTAGTGCCGAAAACGCATTTGATGACTGAGGATGAATGGAGAAGTATTGGGGTGCAACAGAGTAAGGGTTGGATACATTACATGACACACTCACCAGGTAAACACTTTTTTCTCAAACATTATCACTAATAGAGCTTTGAAGACCTTTTTCTCAAAATAATTGTATTTTCTTGTTCAACAAGTCAAATGCAGTCTAGGATGACATTAATATCATCTCATTTTACTTACTAAATATTGCCCTTCAAGCTGGATTTATAGATTAAGTATTGCGAAATGAATAAAATGCAAACAGCTTGATAAAAACATAAAATGACGGATCAACTTGCATTCATAGAGTGTTTGGTTTTAAAAATCAGGAGCCTAGCGAGCAGATGTAGTTTTGACACCAGGTGATCATTGATTCAACCGAAGGTAATATATTTCATGAACGCTCGCATTCTATCTGAATGACAAGCTGACATTCGTGGTATTATTTATCAATAGAAAATGTCTAAAATACAATTGATGAAGTCAATATAGTGTGTATAAGAATATACTAGGAACATATGAAATATTAAAGTCACTAATTATTGATTTTTTTCAGAACCACACATACTACTCTTCAGAAGGCCCATTACATCACCACCACCACAAGAAAACTAGTCTAGAAATTAAGAAAAATTTGTATATAATGTTTATATTGTATGTTAGTTTTTACCGAAAACATTTTTGAGAAATATTTTGGATTTCACAGTTGTTATTCCTTTCCGAATCTGTTTCAAGATTTATTCAAAACTGCTACTGTCTCTATAACTAAGGTGCAACAATACCATTTTCCTTTCATCTATACTCTTTTACCATGTAGAAGGGTACATTTGAGTAATTCGTATCTGAAATGGTTGAAATGTCTACTGCATTGATGAAGAATTAGCTCTCTGTTACTCACCTTAACTGAATTAGAAAATTATTATTTGTATTTGTTAGTTTTTTGTAATTCCGTTAATGTCGAATTTATATTTACTGATTCCTTATTAACCAGGTAACTTTTCAATGTATTTTGTAATGTATAACTATAAGAATATTTTTGGTTCAAAGCAACAGGTTTAAATAATTTTGTGTAATTTTTTCATATTGAAATTATGAAAGTCTTGATACCAGCGCCAATTTTCATTTTGAAAAATTGTATCTCTATCAACAATTACAACAATATTGAAAAACTAATAAGAATTGGATTATTTCAAAGAATTCAAAATGCAATGAAACTGATACAGGCTATTAATAATTGATACAGATTCATGATTTAGGAGTTATTTAGTGAAACATTATACTTGGTTGAATTGAATAACACTGACCGACCCTTACCCGTAGAATGCAAACAAGAATGAAATGTATATGATGGAATGAAATGTCTTGCTTATTGAATCAGGCGGATACAAATACTTAGTCCATATATCTATGTCCTCATTTTTACTTACTTTTATAAATGAAATTTTTATTATAAATTATGGTTACACTTGCTTTATCAAAACTTCTAATGTATATCCAGAAAGTCTACCAAGTCGAGGAATTATTACCGAAAGGTAAAGGAAAAAACAGAAATATGTACTTTTGACAGCTTCAGTATCTAAATTAACATTCTGAATTATATGTGATTTACATTTAAAAAGTACCAAAAATGTGTAATATCTGACCGCGACGAACATGTCAATAGAATGAGTTATTACATTATAAATCGATAAGCTACCTGAGATGCATTTGTAGAAATAGTTTTATTCATCACTAAAATTTTTACACATATACAATTACAAGATTAAATACATGAGAAAACTCGGACTAGTCAAAAAAGTAAAATGCTAAAAGCTAAACACAAATGTTTGATCTTGAATAAATTTAAAAAAAGACTACATGTATAAAAGAAACTCATTTATCTAAGCACTGAAAGCAAGAAATTCATCCATACTGTAGAAGCAGTTATCCAACAAGAAACCATATAGTTCATTCCTCATTATAGTTCTACTTTTATTGATCCCCATAAAAGTTATTTTATTGAAGCATTTGATACCCAAGTATTTTGGAGAATTCTGACTCACACTCAAGCGAGAGTAGGGGTAGTTTAAAGTATCTTCACCCGAGTAACGTAATTATGTATATCATAGTTTAGTAAACTTTCTAGTGGAATTCTCACATTGACGTGTGTTTTTGAATGCTTAGATAATATATGTATGTGTAAATTTATTTGTTTATAGCAGCAACAACATAAGTTATCACTATTGAACATAGAATTTGAATTTTGAAAGCATGTAGTTACTTGAGAGGTAATCAATGACTCATAGACTTAACAGATGGGAAATGCCTATGAACGTGGATATATGTAAAATCATACAAATGCCATAACAGGCATCCATCAAACTGAAATGTGTAAACCTTGTCCAAACAGTTTCAGTTGACATATCGTTACCATATTAATAGTATCTTAAAACAATGCACATAAAAACTTTACAATTCTTCTAGTCTTACTGAAAATAATATTTCCAATACTTTTACTGGCATAGCATACAAACCACTCATCAGTCAAAAAATATAGTTGAAATCATTAAAAAACAAAACACACAAACTGTTACAAATCTCGAAGTCTCCTGTAAGGAAACAATCAGGTTTGGTTTATAGTATTCTAGTTCAGTCATATTAGGGGTTTCACCTCGGAATTAGAGATAGTCAGCTATAAACTTGTATGAACTTTTATTTTGACACCATCGTAGGGTGGACGCGACTACCGATATCTAAGTTCAAAGCTAAAAAAAATCAGTTTTTTGCATATTTTTTGCAAATATCACGTGTCTTATGGGTTTTATGCAATTTGTATTCATCATAAATGTAGAGAAAGAGGGCAGAAATTTGCATTTTTCATTAACTATTACGTTAAATTTTATATTTTTTTTATTAATTGAGTATCTATTTATTTAAAAATACTTATCTACTTGTATAATTAATAAAATATTTTAATTACATTTTAAATAGCAAATAATTAAGTGCATCTTCTTAAGATCTGTAAACGTTTAGAATTTTAGATTCTTTCATAACATTAAAAACTATACCTGGGAACACGGGCCACTTTGTTCTCTTTCAATAAAACTATTTTTTGTATAGAGTTACTTATTTTCAAATTTATTACTTCCTTCCTTTCTTTGGAAGATTCCCACATTTTTTTGTATCAAGATGGAGTAGTAGAAAGCCAAAAGCTTTCTTTCTCAACTGTTTTTTCATTTAACTTTTTTCTTTCGTTTTACAATTTTTTATCAACAACAACTTTTTCTTGTTTCATAACTCTGTAACATTCAGCAGTTCAATTTAATATAGGGTGTACAAATATAAATTCAAACATTAAAATGAACTCTTAATACGGGCGCCTATTAAATAATACGAACCTTTCTATTTACAGTAAGTAGGGACAGATTTCTGCGTTTTTCAAAAAAGAGAAAAAGTTTTCAAGAAACACTCGAGAAACTTTCGAATTTGGATCAACTTGCTGCAGCATTTGAAGAATGAAACTGCCCGGTTCAAACATTATTTGAGAATAGAGTGCAAATCTATAATATTCCAAAGTGAATGGTTGTGGTTCGCAATGAGTATGCAGGAAAGCAGCTCTTTAGCTTGCGGCTGGTGTAATGGGCAAGCTTGTCTTAATTCACCATTTCACAGTGATGTTAAAACGGTACCTTTGACTCCGAAATTCTGGAAGGACTGAAGACATACAAATGACGAAGACGAGAACGAAGAGGAATTTGAAATTTTACAGCGAGCGGAAGACGATGATGAAGGAGAAAATTCAAACTAGAACATAATAATAGTAATAAATCGACTTTATTCATCATAGGATTATCAGCGTAATATGTTTTTCAAATTAAACCTTACAAAAATATACACTTAAAAAAAACAATTATATGTAAACAAATATAGAATAAAAGATAAATCAACTAACACAATAATACAAACTTAATTAAAATGAGTAATGAAAAGGGCGACATACAGAGCACTAATTACCAGGATTCTAAAAGAAGTTTCAAGTGTTTTTTAAATGTCATTATCGTGTAGAGTCTGAAATCACTGGGCAATTTATTATACAGTTTAGAGAAAATATAGAAAAAACTGCCGAGCTGTTTTTGGGAATGACCAAGTCTAATAGTTGCTAGTCTGTGAAAAGCTAAGAAGTCTGTTATATAAATAATCAGGTTGTTTTGTTGATGGTAATTTATATATGTAGGAAAGGATATGTAAAGTGCGTAGGTAGTTGTTAAAGCCTCAACTATCCGGTATCATCAGACCTTCTACCTACTAATGTGATCAAATTTACATATACCGAAGTATAAAATCTCAAACAAAAGTTTTGAATTCCTTGGAGGCGAAGAGAGTCGTATTGAGTAAGTGCAGGTCCATATATGCAATCGCAATATGATAATTTATAAAAAATTAAAGTTTCGCAAAGCTTAAGTTTGAGTTGTGTAGTAAGAATATCTGTATTGGGAAAAATTGTCTGTAATATTATAAGATGATTCACAAAGATGACTGATATGTTCAGAAAATCTCAAATAGGAGTCAATCCACAATCCCAAGTTTTTACTTTCAGAAGTGAAGGGCAAGGCAACATCATTTAAGTATGTGTATCTTGATGTGTATCATTTTACGAACAATACGCTGTCTGTTCAAAAAATAATGTGAATTTTAATTTTTCTCAAAAAATATTAATTTATTCATCAATTTCTATTTTGTCTCCTTTAAAGTATATTACTGGAGTTCTATCCCAACACCAAACCGTTATTTTTAACACCTCGACAAGTGTGAAGATGATTACTTGATGATTGAAATACGTGTCGAGGTGTTGACAAAAACGGTCGTTTGGAGTTGGGATAGAACTGCAGTAATATTCTCAGTAGATCCTTCTAGATCTACCCCATCTCCACATTTTTCTGGAGAGAGAGGCTAGATAGACTGCATATAGACTTGTGTACATAGCCAATTGCAAAAATCAATTTAATGCAGAGTACAACAGACTTTTGGTTGACACTGGAAGTCACAGCATTCTGGAAATGACCTCTGACCTTATGTCTCCAACTACAAACGCCTTATAAAGTACTGTTTCCGAGTAGAGAGGACTGGATCCTCCGATAGAATTGTCATTGGCATCGCTTTAGGCTTTGTCATACAAAGAAACACCTGGATGGCAAGAAGATGTATGGACTTCTAGCAGAATCTTCCGAGATTTATTGGCTCACTCCAAGGCGTTTATTCACCCTTCGAAGCTTGATTCCAAACAGTTATTGGTATCAAACAGTAGAGATGAACTACGATGTCTACATGCCTTCTTACAGATCACTGTCATTTGAATCATCATATGCAGAGACTTGGACTGCCGGAAGACAGTGTGTGTCGCCTCTGTTTGGAAAATGATGAAACAGCACAGTTCATACTTTGTGTCTGCCCCGCTGGGGACCGAATCAGGTTTTTAGAGTTCGCCAGAGCCGTACTCTTACCATCTGACCTGAAAGATCACTCACCATATAAACTAATCGAATTCGTTAAGAAGCTGGGTTTAGTTGGTCGAGTGTGAATAGGTGTGAGCCACAATAAACCCTTGCGGGTTGTGAGGGAGGGTCTAATAGACCCACTCACTTTGGACCTAATCTAACCTAATATATTCATTACTACATCAAAGGTTCCAAACAGTGCGTCATAAGTTCTTCAAAGTAGTTCCCCTCAGATAAGGTACACTTGTTCCAGAGTTTTTTCCAATCCTCGAAACAATTCTGATATGCACTTTTTGGTATGTCCAGCGATACAGTTTTTATCTCCTCAATCGTCGCAAAACGCCGTCCTTTCATGGGTCTTTTCAATCTTGGGAACAGGAAAAAGTTGAAGTGGAGGCAAATTTGGTGAATACGGTGGTTGAGTCATGGTCACGGTGTCGTTTTTGGACAAAAAATTACGAACAAGCAATGACGAGTGAGCAGGTGCATTATCGTAATGAAAAAGCCATGAATTGTTTTTCCACAATAGTGGACGTTTTCTTCGTATTGCTTCTCGCAAGCGGCGCATAACTTAAACATAATAATCATTGTCCGTACGACCATGTGGCAATAACCCCTGATGTACTACGTCACGGTAATCAAAGGAAACATCAGTGAACATAATCTTTACATTTGATTGAACTTGGCGTGCTTTTCGGTCTTGGCTCTTCTGGGCTTGGTTGCGATGTCATAACCACATATTATATTCCCATGATTCGTCACCAGTTATTCAAATCTGGATCGCCGTTCATGTAATTCAATAATTCCTGAGCGATGGTAATGCGGTGATTTTTTTAATCAAAATTCAGCAATTTCGGAACGAACTTCGCTGCCACACGCTTCGTAACCAAAATTTCTGATGGCATGAGCCAACCGATATGCCAACATCCTTGGCAAGTCGAAGATTCTCCATAACAATTTTCTCAACATTTTTATCGGTTGTTCATGTGCTGAAGCGACCAGGGCAAACGTCCTCATTCACTTCTCGACCTTCTGTAAAAATCTTGTACCGCTTGTAAAAATTTTTCTGATTTAAGAGTACAATCACCGTATGTATGCAACGAGTGTACCAACATAAAAAATCGTTGATCGAATATATGCAGCCAGCAAAATTTGAATATTCGCCATACGTATACATATTTTTCGTTTCTATATCTGTAATATTTTTTATGACTTCATTTGGTAACTTCTGTTGATCTCTCATAAGATATAAACTTTTAATGAATCTGAAAAAAGATTGGTTGGGTAACATGATCAATTTTTTCTTAAAAAAAACAAGTGTTTTCGTGCCGACGTTTTGAATTTCATCAAATTCTTCTTCAGAGCTCGAAAAGTTGTTTTTTCGTGTTGAGCCCTGAAGCAGAATTTAATTAAATTCGAAACGTCGCCAAAAAAATTGATCCTGTTACCCAACCAACCTTTTTTCAGAAAAATCATTGGTCACTAAACTAGTTAACTGAATAAACTTTTAAATCATGAATGGCTATTTTCTCAAATTAAGGATTAATTGTGTATTTACACATTTCATATACAATTAATGACTCATGACTTGACAAAAATCTATGATGTATTTATTGACAGATTTATCTCTTGAAAATCCATATCAAAACTTCATTTCACTGATAACCTTGATAAGTATTTCCATATACAATACTTTCCTCAAGCTGAAATGATGCTTGAATCATGGTGTATTATTGGCCAATATAAATTCTAGTATTAAAATTAAACCCAAACTTATCACTAATTTTTATTTTAAATTGTATATGGCTTGCACATTTTTCCAGAGCAAATGAATAAAAACTTTGAACACCCAGATTTAACCTTCATTTTCCAATATTCTTCTCTTATCGAAATATTATTCAATCGTCTGCTTCAAATAAATATTGCATCCAAATCTATAAAGCTAGTGTTAAGAACACACATTAGAGGTAAGTTAACTAACAACACATAGGTTTAATGCTGCATCTAAAATAAAATAGTTCATTCAAAAGTTTTATTCAAATTTACTGTAGGTACATCATATCTCACATATCTAATTTATTGTTATTCTAAAAATAGGCAGTGTCTTTGAACATTAAAAACCAACCTTTAAGGTTAGATTTTCTTATTTCATGTACTTTCAGGATATTGAAATTATAGAGTCCATACATATCCAATATTAATAAAATTAAACTGTTGACCTAAAATATGTACAAAGTTTTCATTTACTCAAAGTGGAATGAACTAGAGGACAAATAACCTTACAATCCGAGTATCAACCATTCATTATAAAGTGAATTTCAATACTGACTCAAAGTACATTCAACTATCCATTTAACATATTAAATATCTCGAAACAATCAAATCAAAAAAATATCCTTATTCATCATCTTCATCTTCATTTTCGCTACTTTTCTCATCAACCTCTTCTTCAGCTGATTCCTCCTTTTCTTTCTTGGATCTTCCCCGGCGACCTACTGAAATACAAAAAAATATAAATACTTCAAGAAGCTCAAAGTTCACTCATTTTCAGTTTACAAACTTATTTTCGCTATTCATTCAATTTTTTTATTCATGTGGGGTAACTTTTGAAATTTTTTTACAGGGTGACTATCAGAAACTATATCACTATATTATGAAAAGTATGAATGGGAAAATTATGAAAGTTTGTCAGTATGGCAATTATGTTGGGGGCAATTTAATTTAAGTAGTTTCAAGTGGATTCAAACTTCATTGTTTAAAAAACACCTTGAATTCTTTTTCAGATTTATATTCTAGATCTACTTGATAAAACCTTCATATTACCTTTCATATGCAGTTTCCAAAATATTCAACATTTCTTATAAAAAATCACATTTGCAGGACCCTTCTAATTTAAATAATTTCCTCAGTACTTTGTAATGTTTTTCAATTTCAGCTATGAACTGTTTAGGAAAAAGTTTCAAAAGAAGTTCCAGCAGCATAAAGGATGATCACAAAAATTACTTTTATATAATGACTACATTTTTTACATTGCATCAATTTGATAAGTATGTTAATTTCGATGATAAAATATCCTATTTGTCACCTCATCAAGCCGCCAATCAGTAAAATAAAATCTTACCTCCATTTGCCTTAGCTTTGGTTTCCTTTGCGTCTGGCTTCTTTTTCGACGCTCCCTTCGGCCTTCCACGACCTCTTTTGGCTGGCGGAGCGTCGACCTCTTCTTTAGCTTCTGCTTTAGCATCCTGTTCAAAGATTTATAAAATATTAGCAAAATTTTCAATACCTCTGACAAATGCCTATACCTTTTTGGTTCGTTTTGTACTTTCAGCTGCAGCTTTGCGGCCCTTTTTAACCTTAACTTCTTCGTCGGACATCTTGTAAATTCAGAAAACTGGGAAAATTAAACAGTTTTTGAATGAAGTTATTGTATTAGAAAAATTATCAGATCAATCTTTAGTAACAAAAATAAAGCAACTAATAAATCAGATGAAATTGAAAATCAAAGGAAAGCTTGGTTTTGTTTCTTGTTCACCTCCTACTCAATCTTTCGCCGGTTTTTCAAAACAAAAGAGATCTACAATCAGTACAATCTACACATGCGTGGCGTCTTTCCTAACAATAATCATTGGGCATTTTTCGCGGCAAAATTGAATACACTATATATTTTTCAGTCTGATAAAAACTTGTTGTTTATAATTGCACAGAAAAGCTCGATACAGACTACTTTGAATGTGATGACGTATATATATATATATTGATATATTTAGAATGTTGGAAGTGATTTTAAGTTCAAACTTTCCTTGGTCATAGCTATAATTTTCTCTAGACGCTTGGACAGAATATTCAACACTGAAATGTATTACAATTGGGAATTTTCAGTATTCAGTAGGAAAAAAGAACACATGAATTGATAAAAAATTATACTTACGAAGTTTCTAAGCACAAATACAAACTAAACACGAACTCCAACTGAACTTTAGAACAGAAGAATATAGAGTAACCGAAACGAGAAGCGAGAAGCCGAGAAGATAGGCCAATGCCCGGAAAAATAACCGTTTGAATAAGGGAGGGGGTAGCTGAGCGGTCAATATTTTCGCCATTGCCAAATTGAGAGAGACTGCTAAATAATACAACAGCGCCTTATCTGTTTGGCGAATATTCAATACCACGACTATAGAGGGCGTCTGATTTGTAACAAGAATTGATGTTTTTTGTTACTCTGAGGAAGAAACAAGGCACCATGATTTTGATATTCAAGTTCAGTGACTTGGGCCAGAAACTGAAAAATGAGTTTTTATTCCAAGTTATATTATGTTCAACAATTATCAACTTTAGGATTTGCCTTGTATTTTTTGGACTATGCCAAGTTAACCGTTTATTAAAATATTTTAACAGTGTTTCGTTTTATATTCTGTTACAACTCTCATTACTTACAGGAGACATTTTCATACCCCTATTTTATTTTATGAAAACAGAAATGAAGTGATGATTTTTACAAAGCATATATATAAGGCTTTAATTTTCCATATCTAATGTTTCAATAGTTTTTTCCACAACTGTCTTTCATAGAGAAATTAAAAATGATTATGGATAGAGCTGGTTAACGGGGAAAAAGCTTTGTTTTTCAACAGAATTAACAAACAATCGAAACATCATGACAGATATGAAAAACAAAAGAAGTTCTAACCACCTCCATTTCCATAAGACACTGATTCTTTGAAAATTAAATGCTTATTCAGTTCATCCCAATAAGTTAGTGTGTAAATTCAAATAATTTTTCACAAATAAAATTGTTATATTGATCAATAACTTTTTAGGAATCACACATTAAAAGATAAGACCTCGTTAGTCCTTAGCTCGCACAAGTTTCGACTTCTGAGGGTTGTCGTTCGTAGGGGTGCGAAAAAACATATTTTAAACATAGAGCATTCTTAAAATACCATGTCCCACCTGCTCCGGAACTTACATAGGCAGCCTATACAGTAAGTTTTGAAAATACCTCCGAAAAACTCACCAGGCCAGAAAAATCCGCGAAACTATCGAAACTGAAACATTTTCAAACTACCTCAACGAAGGTATTCATGGAGAAAATTATTGCCCTTCCGCACATTTCACAACACCCGCGTACCCACTACCAACCCCACCCTCCTCCATCACCACTGGAATAAATGTATTATTATTATTATTATTTGTGACAATAACATATTTTTTTAAACGATGAAGCAATTCAGCAATCTCTGTAGTTAAAATTATTGTTGAGTTTTATTTCTTATANTATATATCATCTTAAAGTTGGGGGAGGGTATGAAATCTGCCTCCTTTTTCAGATATTGAAAATCTAATGATGCAGTTTTTTCTTTGATTCGCTTAAATTTCAAACGTCCTCCAAAGATGCAAAAGGATTTTTGAAATGTGAAATATGTTATTGTTATTGATTGACTTCTGAAACATTCAACATACCACCAGGACTTTTCTGATATTAATTAATCGGTTGAAATCATATATTTCTCCAGAACGGGTAGGTAGTTGATTCTTTGAACATACGTCCCTTAGAAAGAGGTTTATTGTCAATCATTTTTCATCTCATTCCATTCAACTCGATGTTCACCGTCTGATTTTGAAATCTATTCTGACAATTTTGATCCCGTTGTCTATTACTGATGTAATCTTGATGTTCGTTATTACGCACTTTCAATAGTTGACATATTGCATTTATAGTTAAATTCACGACCGAATCTGGACGAACATTCTCTTTCAGAACGGATTTTATCAGTGATGCTTCTTATAAAAATTTGCAGCTATATTGCAAATCGTTTTTGCTCTGTTATAGCTCTATTATTATACCTTTTTAACACTCGCATGATGATTTGATGTTTTTTTTGAGTACATTTTGTTGGTACTAATTTTATTGTATTATAATTTTTTTTTCAGATTATGGATGGTCGATAAAAAAGTTGATTATAACTTTTCATTGCCTACAAAAAAAAACTGTTCTTTGGAAAAATCTAATAATGTTAGAAGCTAAACCTCAATTACTATTTTTCTTATAGAAACAAGTTGAAATTCCTATTTTGAAATACATATTTACGAAATAAAATGTACGAAGTAATTTACGTATATGAGTATATTATGAAAGTCGCCTTGTTTTTTCTTTGACTCTTTCTCCATATCCGATAACAGGTAAATTGTTGCTCGTTAGTATTATTCAAAAGTCGCGGTGTTAACTTATCAGCCAACTTCACGATGCATGGTGAAACGAAGAAATTCTGTGGAAACTACAGCTTCCAACAGCAAGTCGGCGCAAGTCGCGCGCCAAGAATATTGCAGTTCTGCTGTTTGTGAAAATTGCTGATTAATGGCAACTTGTTTTCTTCATGAGAGCATTTTGTCGGCACTAATTTGTTTACAGTTTTTTTATTCCCGCCAAAAGTTATTCACCATTTCTGCTCGATGTTGTTTTGAATAGAAATAGCGAATAAGTTTATAGTAAGTTAATTTAGTGTAAAGCATCTCGCGACAGTCGCAACCACATAAATAAAATTATGTAGTAGAAATAAAATTATAAACTGATGGCTAGAAACCGATTTTACTTGAGCGATTGAATAAGAAAAAAGGGCGGCTGTATTTTTAAGGCCCTCTTCATATCAGCGGAACATATACTTCCTTTCAGTGTTACGATCTTTGTTCGTTTTGAAGGCTGTCGTGATTTGGAACTGCATCCTCACGTTTTGCCAGCAATGATTCGCCAGCATCTTGATGATTCATCCGTGAATCATCAAGATGAATGAACCTCTGAAGAAGCCAGCTGGTCGTGCTGGCGAAATGTTTGTATACAGTTTCAAACCACGACGGCCTTCAAACTCGAACGAAGATCGTAAAACTGAAAATCTTGGTCGCGAAAGCCAATTCATCATATACTTCTTTGATGGGGACATAAAAATGTGCAATAATAAAAATAAAATGAAAACATATACACTTGGAATTTTTTTTGGTAATTAGCAGATAAATATTTTATTATAATAGAAATCTCATTGATGCATTTCGGATCTAGAAGAATTGGGTGATTGTAATTTGAGACGGAAAACATGAGTTTTATGGAAATTGCACAGTTGAGAGTTAGTTTTGAATTCCTTCCAAATGAATCAAGAACTATATGTTTCTGAATTGAAGGGGTTATATTTTTAGGAGTGATTAATTTTTGGGAAAGAAAGTTTTTGGCTTTCTACTACTCCATCTGGTACAAAAAAAAGGGATGAGAGAATCTTCAACAATTACAATAAAATAAAAATTACTACAAGTCATTGCTGTAACCAGACAACGTGAAAAAACTGTGATTAAACAAACAAATGTATCCGATTAACGATGAGAATCATCTGTTATACAATTTAATACATACAAATCTCGTGTCACGGTGTTTCAGTCGCACTACTCCGAAATGGCCCTACCGATTTTCATGAAAATGTTTGTGTATATTTGATAGGTATGAGAATAGGTCGTGAAGTATATTTCATTCCACTAAGTGATTAGGGTATCCCTACTCAGAATTTTTTTTTGTATTTTTTCATTTAGCAGCAAAGTTGATACCCTATAAACATATTTTTTATATGGTAGAACAACGTTTGTCAGGCCACCGATTCTGAGTATTGAGTATGACATTACCTTTATATAGAGATAAAAAGACATTACTAAAAGTAGATATCTATGTACCTAACTTCTCACTACGTTATTCGCTACTTCATGACTTAACAAAAGAAGAAGAATAAATTAGGTTGACTGACGCCCTAGACAAACTGACGTCTATTTGTCTAAATACTGTGACCTAACCCCAACCTAACATGAATAAGCAGACTGCTCAAAAGAATCTGATTCCCATATCTGTGAAAATAAGAATTTTGAATATTTGGTATGTTACAATCTACAATTCCAAATTGGCAAAAAGGGATGCTTTGAGTTCGGATTGCCTCACAAAAACAATATAAACTATAATATAGGTGGTAACATTTACTGATTTTTGGAGAAAACAGGACATTTTAATAGCTAGAGTAGGTAAAGATGTTTCAATCCTCACAATAAAACATTAATGGCTCATCTATTGCCTATCTAAAATAAAGACTGAGCTCTTCACACCATAACTGTTTATTTATGTATGGTGCCATAAGTATTATTCAATTGCCAGAGACTAATGCAAATTATATTCAACGGAATAAAGTTCGACCTCTGACATGAAAAAAAAACCGTGGCAGTTTTTCTATGCATTTCAAAAAATGATGTTTAGAAGATTGAGAATATCTGTGACAGGCAATCCATCATAGGAACTCATAAGTCTCATAAGAGATGTACACAAAAATAAGTGTTGACAAAATGGAGTGTGATCTAGGTTTACAAAGTCAAGTTCTTGTTCAATGAATTGATAGTATGCCAAGGTATCCACAAAATAAAATTCTCACAAATTAGAGAACATTTCTAAGGAAGGGTGATATGATTAAAAATATCAATGTATTATGTCTCTGTGTTTTGCTCAAAATGTAAAAGTTTTATAATGTTAAGGTCTCAAAGTGGAAAAAGTAATTCAGAAGAGAAATTGATAAAACTAAAATACTTCTCAAAAACTAAAGTAGTTTTGAACTTGATAGAACTAAGAAGTAATATTTATTTCTGCTTTATTTATTATCATGCAATCTATACATTATAATTGAAGTCATTCAGTCACAAATGTAACACTTTGAACATTTCTATTTAATTGTGATGCACTGTTTGGAACGTTTGGTGTAGTAATGAATAATACTGGAGTTATATCCCAACATAAAGCCTTTATTTTTAACACCTCGATATGTGTTTCAATCACCAAGTGATCGTCTTCAGGAGGAAGAATAATCTTCGTCTTGAAGATGATCACTTAGTGATTGTAACACGTGTTGAGGTGTTAAAAACAACTGTTTGGTGTTGGGACCGAACTCCACTAATATCCATTTCTATTTAGATTCAAATAATAATAATTAACCCCAAAATATATTTAAATCATATTCTGGTTACTTTTAAGAAAATACTCATCTGTCTGTGATCTAACTGCATTTATTTATATTTATTTGAGAAAAATTAAAATGTATAACAGTTTGAACTAATATAATTCTTACACGCAAGTATCATTAGACACAATACAACAACACAAGTATTAGATGTCTAGGTGAAGAATATGGTTTTTAAAGCGGGAAACTATTATATTGAAGATTTGAAGGCTATTTAAAGAGTTAGCCAATCGAAGAGTTCTGGGAATAAAGCTGTTGTATGAATAATTGAATCTGTGAAAAGAAACGTAAAATGTTTGCACCTGTCTAGTTGAACGACTGGGGACATGTAAAGATATTTTGGAGAGAAGCAGGGAATTTTTGAGAATAGTAAATGAGAAACAAGCAATTTTGGTTATAAGTTTTATTTCACATTTGCGGAAACACCTATAAAAAATACAACGAATCATTTACAAAGGATAAAAATCATATGCAGTTTTACCCAAAAAGGACTAATGTTCTGTTCTCTCTTGAAATTTCTCATATCATATAACTAGGTACATATTTAAAACATGCATATTTTCCTTTTTACCCTATTGAATATTCATTTATTTTGTTATGGAAATGAAAAGTTCACACGAACTTATCTGAATTTTCAACTCATCAAACATTATATCCTTTATAAATTAAAACAAAATTCAATACAGTGGATAAATTTGTTTGGGAAACACCAAGATATATCTTCAAATACGTCCCCTACTTCTCGGCAGTTATTCTTCTGATGCATTTGTTATGATCTTCTGACAATAAAACATTCAATATATTCCACGCACGATTCTGACTTCAAGCTATTGTGAATTGAAACTATATAGCGGATTATAGTTATTCATTCACAGTTTTAAAATTTTTATTCAGCATCTTAGCTCCATCTGTCAAAATCTGATACATTACGAATATGTATTAATATATAACATTTATTACAAATATATAGTGGAATATATTCACAGTTAATGAGTTTCTACTAAGATAGATATGGTAAGCCACAAGCACCTCTTCCTTGAATTCATCTGATCTTTTTCCATCTCTATGGAAAATTTTATGGGCATTTTATATAGTTGAAGGATGTTTCAGCGGACTCATGCCTGAAAGAAACATTTTCTGAAAGAGGGTGGATGCACAGTGACCCGCCCTATCCTACCAAGTACTACTTTTACTTATGATATGGAGGAATAGAAATATATAACTATTGCTATTAAACATTGAGGAGACATAAGACCAGATTTTTGTAAGTTTCCTACCTACGTGGAGACAATCCAAGTCAAAATTTTGGTTTGATCCGAAAAGTTTTTCTATAATAAAATCAAGAATAAGTACAAGAAACATTTATAGGATTCTATACGTTATACTTACAATTTAATTCTTAGCAATACAAACAATTGTAGAAAAATACTTATTTTTTACTGCAATGCAGAAAATGAAAGCTCTGACGACCTAAATTATCGTGACAGCTGCAAAACCAACGGTAATAATTACAGTAACAATAATGTACCAACACTGATATATCTAAGGCTTAATGAAGATGTATATTCGAGGGCAACAATCATTATTGTTGGCAAAGAAATTCCCTCCAAACCAGTTTTTTGTAATAACGTTAATTACCTACTTATTTTGTTAGTAAACTTAATCTTGCCATATTTTTAAAATGAAATTAATATTCTGCTACCAAAGTGACATTATTGTGAAATTGAGACGCTCAATATTATTTTCCTTGTGGACTCTGATTTACTTCTCACATTTCTATCGTAGCATTAATAAGCAATGTTATCCTATTGTTTTTTTTGTACAAATAAATTGTATAAGACCATTGCACTGATGTATTTATTGCTTGTTAAAAATATATTTACTTCATTTTAAGGTACCTGCATTCGTTGAATTCTGAATGTTTTTTACTTTATATTGGGGTTAGATTGAAAACAAGGGTAATTATGTTCATTTTTTTTTACATTACTCCCAGCTGACACCTCACCTTTTTCTTTATATACTTGTATTTGTATTTTTTCTTTACCGCGATTTAGAAATGAAGACCAATTGTTATTTTAATCTCGTTTATTATGGCTTAGATATGAACAATCAATTACAATGAAGTGAATTCATGATACATAAATAACTATTTTAAGCTTGATGCACACGCGTGTACAATTCAACACGGTTCAAATTATGTTAAATTTTTTGTCTGTGTGCATCAAGGTTTTAGAACTCAAATTTTGCAACTTTATTGTTTGACATAAATTCAATATTATTAGATATTATAGCGTTTATTAATCAATGCAGTCCGTTGTTTTCTGACAGAATAGTCAACTTTGGAGAATAGAGACTTGGTTTACACTTTTGAACAGTGGTTGTTTAGATTGAAATGTTTCAACTCCCTCTTGGGATTTTCGAAATACTGTTGTTTGGATTGGAAAACGCTTTGAAATAAATATTTCAGCCCAGCGGTTAATTCGGCTTCTTTAGGTTTATTCAATACAAGAAAATAATTGAAAGGTGAAACTGGAACCTCTGGCGCAGAATAAATCTAAAAGAAGCACTTTTCCCAATCACCAGAAACGCAATACTTTGAATACACTGACCCGTTATAAGGTAAAAATCAATAACACTATTCATGATAATTATAAATGTTCCAATTTTATTTTCCAATATGCGTTTCTCTACTTAGTAGCATCTATCAGTTGAACTGGTGACTGGCATACAACTCATGGTTGGTGAAACGCATGTTGGGAAAGTATTGTATTTTTGGTGATTGGGAAAAGTGCTTGTTCGCTTTAATAGGCGATATAATTAACGCCAAAAAATATTCATATGAAATAACTCACGAGTTTCGTAACAGAAATATAAGTGATTCACTCTCACTATTATATCAAAAAACGTCTCATCGAACCGAAAATATGAATGTGAAAATGTTTAGCAAAGATTGCTGCCATGTTGAAAAAAGACTATGATCTGAGAAGAGTCTATAGTAGTCACATAGTTCAAAGAGTAGACCTCTATATTTAATCCATTTATTCTCCTCTTCAATATGTTAATAGAACTTTCATGGAGGCCCCGACTGGGTCTCTCTAATTTTGAAAATTCTGAATACGGACCTGGAATTTTTGCAACAATTTTTTTTTATCTGCAACGACTATTCATTATTGGGAATTTCAAATTTCTTAAGACATTCCTGAGAATTTCAAATACCCTATGCCAATGAAGTTTTTCTACGTCCATAAGTTCAAATAAATGGAAGCCTCTAATGAGTTCCTGAAAGGTTAGGTCCAAGAAAGGTTATTACATTCAAGCTGCTGGGGAAAAATTCCATGAAAATCAAAAGATGAATAGATAAGTACTATTCTGATCATTCCTATATTGACTTCAATTTAGGAGCCACCACCAGAATGATCAGAATAGTACTTATCTATTTATCTTTTGATTTTCATGGAATTATTTTCCAGCAGCTTGACTGAAATAACCTTTCTTAATTTCATATCATTTGTAGAATCATGTGGCTTCGTTTTCCGATAGCATTCCAGGTTAGCTTTCCAAATTTCTGTTATCGCAGCTGTCGGTTGACTGGTCAAACCACCAACACTAACATAAAAACTTGGCAAGTTGACTTGGGTGTCACACCAATAGGTGGTTGTATTTATGTCTAGCCTGTGTTTATACAATTATTTTCATTAAGAACTTTTCTCTGTTCACATTTTGTCTTCAATCGGACCGCCTGCTCGGTACTGACGATGCCCAATAGGCTGAAACAGCTATCTACCGGTGGCTCTTAAATTGAAATCAATATGGTTGTGATCAGAATGTACTTATCTACTTACATATATACGTAGTATGATATTTGGAGGAACAGCAAGACCAGATACCCAATTTTATTTCTTTGAAACTATGAACAATATTTCTTTTGATTGGTTTCTGAAATATGCAACTAATTTAGAGGACCAACTATCAAAATAATTCATTACAAAATGACACTTTTCGAGAGAAAATCAAGTATTGCTTCCATTGAGGTGATTACAAGGCTGTCATAGAAGAAAACATTATTTATTTGATGCTCACCAAAGTACTGAAACTTTCAGGAATAATCGAAAATTTCAATATAAAAAAAAATTCCAACAAAAATGCAGATCAGTAGTCAACACCTCAAAGTTGAAAGACATCCTGCCCAAAAAAAATTATGAGCACATTCTGTAGAAAAACTATATTTCTTTGAATACAGAAATTACAGCCATTTACGAGAACCCTATACAGTGTTTCGATTTGAATACTTCAGTATAAATTGAGTGAAACTATCGGAGTTGAATATCCTTGTATTTGTTGTTTTTCGAAATTAATCACTGTGGCTCATTTTGAAAAAATTTAACTCTTCTCCGATATGAAAAGTGACATATTCAAAAGATGCCAACCACTTGTGTCAGTGAAAAATAGTTAACAATCTAGTTAAAATTATAAGCATAATATAGTTACAATAAAACGTATGACTTGACTTTGTATTTTAATCACGAATGATAAAAAATTCTTGTTACACAATTACTAATTTATTGAATGAACCAATAGAATATATTAAAATTTCACAGAATGGTATATATTTATATTTAATGAGCAAGTAGTTTTAGTCACACTTGAAAAATTTACTGTATAGCGAAACATGTGTTATGGTAAATACATTTCCGATTTTCATAAGTGTCAATTGATTCCGTCATAAGTAGATCGTTTTTAGTCTCAAATAATTTTTTAAGCAATAACATGGGCATTCCATCTCGAAAATATTTAATTTCATCAATGATTACGAACACATTGGTTAAGTTTTCTGGCCGAGGTTTTCAGAATCACTATTTTCCGGGTTTTTGAAGACCGTCGATTTTGGAATTTTTTCCTGACGTTTCACTGGCGCGAGTGGCTAGCTTTAAGTAACTTTAATATCCAGTCAGAGATAACTCAGGATGGATAAACCTCTGAAGAAGCTAGCCACTCGCACCAGCGAAACGTCAGGAAGAAATTTCAATAATCGACGACTTTCAAACCTGAAAAATAATGACAGTGAATGATAGCAACATTTTAATTGTAGGCACTGAAATTTAGTGTCAGCTTTCGAAATAAGAAATCAATCAAAAACCAATAACTGTTTTGGAATTTAACAATACCCATCTTACAATCAATCTTGAGATAAATTTATTTATTTTTTTATAAATGACTTGTGAAAACTGATCTTTTCCCATGGCTACAATAATAAAAATTCAAAAAACAAATGTTTTCTTCAAAAATGATTCTTCTCTACTCCCCGTGGTTTTTTAGATTGAAGAAACCAAAAACACTTATGGTTTTATTTCTTAATTTTTCAATACAAGAGCTGCTGGAAAACTCTAACATCATTAAACTTCGCTCCCCAACCAACTGTAATATACTAGTTTGTGACAAGTTAAAAAAAAAAGACACCAAGCGAAAATACATCTATCAGATGAAAATCAAACCACTTCAAAAGCAAACATGAACAAGCAGAAACATCAAAAGCGTTCAGATAAATCACCTAATGATAGGTTAAATTAGAATAAATGCCATTATGAAACTAACTCACAAATTTTATTTGATATAAAACAAATTTACAACAAACTACCCTTCGGTAGAAATAAATAGTAAGTTACATTTGAAACTACAATAAAATATTAGGAATTGAATAATGGAAATCGGTAGTCAATATTTTAATGTTCTAAAAAATAATACAACTACTATTGAGCGTTGAATTTACAGAAAAAATAAATATTACAATTTGTACTATACACTTCAAATTATATGAAATAAAATAATTATATATGCTTTTTGTACATGGCAAACTATGATTTACTATAAATTTAAATGAACTTATTTTTTTTATAATCACAGATAAATCGCTTTACAGCTGAGAGGTGAGTACCTATATCTAAAAAACAAAATCGCCTGCTGGTTTAGTCTTCATTTTAATATTATTTGCACCTGAATTCACTCAAAAACATCTCTTTATTTGCCTTGACGATATATTCCGAAATATTTCAATTGGTGTCTTGGAAGTTTTTCACCCTTAATCAAGGTTTCATAATCCTTTTTCAGTCGTTTTCCCACTCTGGATGTCTTCCTCATGATTACGTTTTCTCTGTTGTATTCCGGGGCCTTCCTAAAAATAGTATTAATTCAAAAGTTTGATTTTTTTAAAATTCAGTTCATCTTCCCAGCTGTGGAGCGAGTTTCATTTCAAAACACAACCACACAAAAAATGGAGCGGGAAATTAAATCGTGTTCACCATATGCTTGTGGGGTCGTTGAATATGTATTTAACTTCATCCTGTCAGAAATGATGATATAACCTCAAAAACCCAATCAAAGGTCAATCAGCTTATTTTGCCTAACATCCCGTAACACTTAACTACTATTTCCAATAACAATCCAATATTAGTCATTTCCTTATTCCAACCGTTTCTATTCCATTATTTATTTATTAGTTGACTTTCATGATGCTTGGTTACATTGTATTGATGAAAGTCAAATAGCTTGAAATACATATATAGGTAGGTATTCTGTTTAATTATGACATTCACCCTTAGTCCTAGGAAATGGGCCACAAATATAAACCGAAGGAGGAGTACTCTGACTCCTCTAACTTGTAAGGAGAGTAGAACAACACAGAAAAAGAGGGTCTCGGAAGTCTTTATGATGGTTGTCGTTTACTTGGGAAAATCATAGGGAGTTAAGAGAACCTCAGGGACTCGATGTATTGTTATCCGATCATGATTGAATTTGTTAGCGGTCAAATAAGGTAAAATAGCGGTCAAATTAAAAACCAGTGAGGAAGGGCCTGAGGAAATCGTCACGACCACCAACCAGGGATACGAAAAAGTCAAACAGTTTTTCCAATTGATTTTAATAAATGAATTATTCAAATCAATGAAGTCTTTGTAATATCAACTCCAGATTTCAAAAGAAGTATCGATATACAGTGTCATCCCCAAAGTATGCACTATATGGGAAACTTATTCATTAAGGGTTTTTCGACAAAAAGTTATTCTTGATAAAAGTTTGTGCATCCCCTACAACTAAACATGCACTAACAAAATATAGTAAGACACACGTGTACTCTTATTTTGAAAAATCTCGGAAAATGTTATTTAGAAAAGTTGTTCAGCATTAAAAAATACATCTAGATTTGAAGTAATGGCCATCTAAGTGAAGTTTTATTTTTTTACCCATTTTTTTCAAACGGGGACTATGAAAAAAAAATTGCTAAAACGATAAATAGACAGCATCCTGTATACGACGGTTTATTTTAAAAGCCTGCAATATTACAAATTTCATAACTTTTCATAACATTTAACCACGGTCAATTTTTTTCAAGAGGAAAATAAATTTCAAAGTTTTTGGTGCAAAATTATTTTAATTTTTTGCTAACACCGAAAATTACTCAAAATTATACTGTACTGTAACAAGAACTTGATATTCATTAATATCACATCACAAAACATCAAAATAAAATAGGTATTTTGGAACAAACTCATTGATTTTCTGGAGATTATTTTGGAGAATTATTTTGGACAAGAAAACTTTACACCAAAAACTTTGAAAATTATTTGACTCTTCAAAAAAAATGGACCGTGGTTAACACCATAGTTGTGTAATTTGTAATATTGCAAGCTTTCAAAATAAACCGTCGTATACAGGATGCTGTCTATTTATCGTTTTAGCATTTTTTTTTCCATAGTCCCCATTTAAAAAAAATGGTAAAAAAATAAAACTTCACTTAGATGGCTATGACTTCAAATCTAGATGTATTTTTTAATGCTGAACAACTTTTCTAAATAACATTTTCCGAGATTTTTCAAAAGAAGATTACTTTACTCCTGTCTCAAAATCAAATATTTGAAGGCTCCTCGTATATTACGTGCATGTTCAGTTTTAAGGGATACACAAACTTTATCAGGAATAACTTTTTGTCGAAAAACTCTTAATAAATAAGTTTCACATATGGTACATACTTAGTCTCAACGGTATCTCAAGTTATTAGTGCTATCTAAAATATACCACAGGTTCAGGACCATAGAATTGTTCAATAATTTTTTGAGTGCAATAAAGAATCTGGCTACAAAACTGTACAATTTCAAATCAAAGAGTAATTGCTCAGGTATATGTCATCAGCGATCTAATCTACTATCATCAATCTGGCTACTATCATCAAAATGGCAAATGAAATGACATCCCTAAAAGAAAAACGAGATACCTTGTTATGTTCCCAATACAAAAGAGAATTTTCTTTGTTATTCCAGAATTTTGCAATGGTCTTCTCAAATAAAAATTCAAATTTGGGGTTATGAGCTCAAGATAAAAAACAACTGCAAAACTCGTCATAATTTTGCTGAAATAAAACCACAACTGGTTTTATTTCAGCATGGGATTAAATGAGTCATTGGGTTTCAACTGTCTAAAAAACATACATTAAGCAATTGTCACAATTCATAATGGGGAATGTTCCTCCTGACGAAAATCAAGTAATTTTCATAAAAGAGCTCTAAAAGAATGCATTTTAAACTCATCATTTCAACCTTTTTCTTTAAAAAATGATTTAAATACTTAAAAAAGAGGAATGAAATAATGCATTCAACATTTAAAGGGATTCGTTTCTATTTTATCATTTGGCAACATCGGTTATATCAAATAAAGGACAATGAATCTGTTACCTGTATGAGACAAACAAAGATGACATATTTTAGAGGCGTGTTGTTCTGTTTACTTATGTTCCAAGTTCCGAGACATATGACATTTTCTGCACCTAACCTATCTTTCTCTATATAAATGAATAACAAAACAACTGTTGTTTATGTGGCTTGGAGAGATGATATAGAACTATAATTTATATTTTGCCTCAATTGTTGATTTATAAAGATAATTTTCCTTTTTTAAAAGTAGAATATCTAGGTACGTATAAATTATTTCAACTTGATATAGGCGCTGTTGCCAATATGTGAATTAGAAACAAATCCCTTTAAAAATTAAAACCCAACATTTGAAACATCAATTTGAATACTTTTCGAAGTGAATTTGAAAAACTCATGAATTAAACTCAACTTTATTTTGTTCAAACTTGCATTTGCTGTAATAACCCAAATTGAGGAACATTCCTCATTCTATTTTTACAATACTAAAAGTAACTCTTCCTTAGGTTTTTATATCTGTGTAGATTATAATTCATAGAAAAATTAAGACGTTAATGTCTCTGCAAAAACAAAAAGGAAATGGACCGTATCAGAAGACTTGGTTTTGAAATGGATAATAAAAATAAAGTTGCGCCAAGTCAAATATTTGGTAGGTAGTAATACACTCATTAAACTGCTTAGTCAGTTGGAATATCAGATTTCACAAAATGCGTGTAAACAATTTTTTTGTGAAATATATACTGTAAAAAATTATTTTTAAATCTCCGAAAGAAGGTGATCAATTTTTCATCAAATATACAATAATCGAATGCAGTAGTACTAGTACTGGTACTACTACTACTACTATATCCAACGTATTCAAAAAACACACTTTAAAGTGAGACTTCCACTTGAGAGTTTACAAAACCGTGACACGTGTTCCGTTATACGACAGCATCCTCGGGCGTTAGAATACTGTTTTAACAAATTATGTGTCGTGCTTTTAAAGTAATTTGTAACCTGTAAAATTTCTACATGATAAATTCATTACCTCAAGTATTTACCTACCTAGGAACAACTTGTAAGACTGGAGAAAAATGAAAAACAATTTTTACCTTAGCTATTATTTTATCTACTTTTAAGATCTGTCCTAATTACTAATTTTCTCGTTGGAAACTAAATAAAGGGGAACAATTCAAATATATCCGATCAGTGAACAATAATCCCGAATTTTCACATTCATAGATTTCTGAACATTCCAAAAGATTGAGTTTTGAGCCTTTCTGTTCCTAATGATTGTGCCCCTCTGCCAAAAGATGATTCCCAAATTTTGAAGTGGTCTTTCCATTCGAAAAAACTACTTCTATGATCTTTTATTCTTTTGCAAAAATATATTCCGGTTTGTCCTATATAAAATTTTGGACAAGAACCACAAGTCAACTTGTATACTCCTAAGCTATTAAATGAATATACTCAAATCATCATTTGTTCAGTAGGCAAAATTCAATTCTTTGCCACACGTGTCGCGGTTTTGTGTATGTACTTTCAAGTGGAGATCTCACATTATAATGGATTTTCATCGGTCACTTCTATCATGTTTTCATTATATCCAAATATATTTTGAAACTGTCTTTGGTTGCCACTAGCTGTCTAAACCATGAGTTTAAAACAAGGAGCTCATTATTACTTACTAGTAAGTGGTAAAACGAGTAGTTGTATTTATGGAATTGACTGTACTTTTTTTCCAAGTTTACCAATTTATTTTTCAGCTGTAACTTATTATTTATTACAGAGAGGTAAAGCTATTTTGTAGAATATAGGCAGAACGAAAGGTTTGTTTAAAAATAATAATCTAATTCATTTGTTTTCAGGATAGCTTGGCATTAAGAAATATATTTTTAAACATCGCTGTGACAAATTTAAAACAGATTTTAAAGTTATTGAATCTGGAATATTACCAAATTTCAGAACGATGTTTAATCAGTAAATCGAAATACATTGAAATTACATTAGCTCTACATCAAGAATATTTTTAAATAATAAAAAAAAACGTATTACTCACCTCTCTTTCCGGGTTTTTTCTGAGTAGCACGAGCAGGATCACCTGAAAAAAATAAAACATTTATAAAAATTATATTGAAATTTTGGGATCCAACACCATGGAAACAACTTTTAACTGAAATATTTACAGTTATTAGTTCAGAAAAAAAAAAACAAGAGGATAGTGAACAAAAACAACAAAACAGTTCACTGAACAATATCAATTTCCTGAAAGTACCGAGTATAATTATGAATGAAGAAATAATTCTTTGAGAAAATCAATGGGACTAGTGTGTTCAAACCCATAAAATTGAAATCTAAAAATATAGCTGTTGATATTTTTTTTTCAGTAATTCAAGAAATTGCATTGGAATACACTGTTATAGTATCAACTATAAATAAAAAATTATTGGACATTCTGACTCATTTTACAGAGAACTCTTTTTTTAATGCTTGGCACTGATGGAAAAAGACAGTTGTTTAATAGTCTTGTCCGTTTTAATGCCATGTGTTTTAGTAGCTCCATATCACAATAAATTTTTATTCTACTGTGTCTTGGTGTATACTGATCGATGGGATCAGTATACACCAAGTTATATACACCGGTTATATCAGGAGTTTTCAGATAAAATGTAAGGACAGGTGCTTAGGGGAACCAGGATGACAACTTTAAATTTCTCCATTGAAAATTCTAGGGGTTGTTAAACTTATAAATTCAAGAGAGGAGACATACATAAATCGAGTTGCTCATACAGGGGTATATATTTCTGGTTTTAATTTGATTTGTTAATTTCCATGGCTTTCAACAAATTCATTTTCTTTCTTTTATTACATATGTGTAGGATTTTGAGGTTATCTTCATAAGGCTGTGTGAACACGTCTGTTTGGACAAAAAATCTACAATATATGAACATTTTCAAGAATCAAAACACAAGATAAATAAATATAACCTCAAAATCCTACACATATGTAACGTTTTTTTCTGTTTTTAACATCCGAAGCTGTTTGGAAATTGCGCAAGACATGATGCGTATGCATAGAAAATCTCAAGCAGTCCGAAATAGTGTCAGATACATGGTTAAACCAGAACGCATTTTGAGATCACTGTGCCACCTATCGAATATATGAATAAATGAAGACAAGAAAATACTTTTTTGGGAAAGAAAGTTTTTGGCTTTCTACTACTCCATCTGATACAAAAAAAAATGGATGAGAGAATCTTCCAAAGAAAGGAGTTACTCCATCTGATAAAAAAAAATGGATGAGAGAATCTTCCAAAGAAAGGAAGGATTAATCAATTTGAAAATAAGTCTATACATGGATGTGTAGATCATGCAAAGAAGTAACTTTCAGACACAAACTGAAAGAAAGTCCTCCTGAAACAGCTACTTTCATATTAACATTGAATTACACGAAAGAAAAAATTCTTTCAAAACAAATACTTCTATATGAACACTGAATTATACAGAAGATACTTTTCTCTATTCAGTTTGTATATCGAACATTCGTGGAGGAATAAGAATCAGATATCATTCACATGAGTTCTACTTTGAATGAATGGTAATAAAGTTACTTCTTTGCATGATCTATACATCCATGTATAGAGTTACTTATTTTCAAATTGATTAATCCTTCCTTTCTTTGGAAGATTCTCTCATCCATTTTTTTTGTATCAGATGGAGTAGTAGAAAGCCAAAAACTTTCTTTCCCAAAAAATTAATCACTCCTAAAAGTATAACCCTTTCAAATCAAGAAAATACTGTTGATCATGTTCATTTTGTATGTAGCGTATCCTTGTAGTCAGTTCAAATGTTATCTAACCTCAATTATCAATTATTTAAATCAAATAGATAAAAAAACATTTTAGAAAATAACCCCAAACTAATTTCCACATGAATGCGCATGAGCAACTGGAACAGTTCTCAACAGTTCAGCCTCGAGAGCGAGAACGATTCGGGACGGTTTCAAGAGTTTAGGATCATTTCGCAGTCGAAACCAGAACAGAGGATTCATCTATCCGAACTTATTCTCGATAAACCAGAACGCTCTATATCAACTGCGTATGATCCTGACGTCCTAGAACCTGAATTTCGTAGAACCAGAACAAACCTGTAATAAAGGGAAGAAAATGAATTTGTTGGAAGCCATGGAAATTAACAAATCAATTGAAAACCAGAAATATATACCCCTAAATGAGCAACTCGATTTATGTATGTCTCCTCTCTTGAATTTATAAGTTTAATAACCCCTAGAATTTTCAGTGGTGAATTTTAAAGTTGGCATCCTGGTTCGCCAAACTACTTGTCCTTACATCTTACCTGAAAACTCCTGATATAGTGGGGTCAAACCCGAAACTGGTCGTATAAATAAAATCAACTAGTGGTAATTCGACAAAAGCGTTTTTATTAATTTCATTTAAGTGATGTACTTGTGTATGTATATATGCACATATGTGTATAGTCTATACGATGTCAATCCAAACAGCCAAATGAGAGACTAATGTACCGGGTCTGATAAATTGTCTGTGTAGACTATACAAATGTATCTAGTGTAATTTTATATTTATGAGTATTGTACTCATTGCATAATTTGCATGGATGATTATGTTTCGTCTATTTGCGTATTGACGAAACTGACACATTTTTTGTGTCAAAAAGGTAAATTACGAATTGAATTGAGAAACAAAACACAGCAGCACTCGAGATATCGTTAGATCTGTGAAAGCCTTATTGTCGCATATACACCTTCCTGATAGAGACGTCCTGTACATAATTCTGTTACCAAGCGAAAGCGTCTTCACATATTCAACAAACTACCGGCGCGCGGGGAGCGGATGAAACCTTAACCTGAACCATGTTCAAGACATGTTAATCAGTTTTAATAACGCCGTGGCACTGTAAACAGCTCAATTAACATCAGCGATTTTATCCCCTCAATCGTCGCAGAACGCCGTCCTACATGGGTGTCTTCAGTCTTAGGAACAGGAAAAAGTTGCAGGGGACCAAATCTGGTGAATACGGTGGCTGAGGCATAATAACGGTGTTGTTTTTGTCAAAAAAATTATGAACAAGCAATGACGAGTGAGCAGATACATTTCGTGATGCGCCATGAATTGTTTTTCCACAATACCAGACGTTTTCTTCGTATTGCTTCTCGCAAGTGGAGCATAAGTTCAAGATAATACCTTTCTTTGACCGTATGATCATGTGACAAGAACTCCTAATGCACTACGCTACGGCAATCGAAGAAAACAGTGAACAAAACCTCGACATTTGATCGAACTTTGCGTGCTTTTTTGGTCTTGGCTCTTCTGTGTTCTTCCATTGGGACAATTGATATAATTGTTATAATCATATACCCATGATTCGTCACCAGTCATGACCCTTTTAAGCAAATCTGGATCGCCATTGACGGCATTTAACAATTCCTGAGCGATGCTCATGCGACGATCTTTTGGTTAAAAATTCAACTATTTTGGAATGAACTTCGTTGTCACACGCTTCATGCCCAGAATTTACCAAAAAATTGTGTGGCATGAGCCAACCGATATATGTCGGTAGTCCCTGGAGTTTCTCATTCTACTGTGAGCTGGTTTTTTGGGTCACGAGAGTTTAGATATAACAGAAGGAATCGTTCAAGTGTCTCTTCACCATCTTGCCATACCATGAACATGTCATCAACATAACACAGCCAACAATATGGTTTTACACCCAATTGCTCTTAAGACCCGTTGTTTGAAATTTTCCATGAAAAAGTTTGTCACCAGAACTAAAGGTTTGTACCAAACTTCAAATCAATCGGTCAACATGAAGGGGGTCAAATTTGAATTACTACATAATTTAAAACAATGAGGTTGCAGTACTTCCTTTCAAAAATATTCAGTTTCCCATTCGAATGAATAAATCTCTCACTATAATAACTCAGAAAAGATCAATGGAGATTTACCCATTTGTCATCAGTTTGTGCAACTGAATTGAGTCAAAAAAGTAATGAAAACGAAATGACGAGATAACTATCATTTAATGAAAAATTGTTTTCAATTATGAAATTCTCTAAACCTAAACCCCATTTCACAACATTCATTAGTACTTAATTATATTCCAGTATGTAAAACTTTAGACCGAGCCATTCTCAATTTGAGGTTCAAAATTTATAATAACGGTATAAAATTTACCTAGTATGAAATGTGAAATGCCCAATTTATTAATTGTGAAGTAACTATTCATTTTAACTTCAAACTATATGAACTTCTTTTTACTGATTGTAAGCTTCCATCCAAATAGGAGTTCTCTTTGATTAAAAGCCAACGTTAACTTTTTTGTATTAGTTTTTCATTTGTAGAAAGAAACGATGTTATATAAAACTATATGTGCGCGTCAAGTATTGACACATGTGTAATGATTCTTTGATCTATGAGTACTTTCAAGATTTTTAAAGGAAAATTACTCACCTCTTTTCCGCTTGCCATTTTTCTTCTCGTTATAAGGAAGATCACCTGATTTGTGACCTTAAACACAGAAATATTGATTATTTTCAAAATCTTGCAAAATTGGGAAAACAAATAGGAAACAAATAGAAAACAAATCTCAAATGAGTATCAGTTGAAAAAAAAAAAATAAGTAAAGCTACTTCGGAGAAAAATAGAAGATTTGATTAGTGATGTCTTCCACGTAGCTAGATTCACATAAAAAGTTAATACATAGAAAAATATCCAAACTATGTATTTCTCTATACTAACAAGTAACATCATCATGTAAACATTTATGAAAAAAATAAATGCAACATTTTACTCATCAGGAATTTTAGCTGGTGCTGTATCCAATATACTTTTCTTTCTTCTTCTTCTTTCTTCTTATTTCTTCTTCTTCTTTCTTCTTTGTCTTTCATCAGTCTTCTTTTCATGAAGTCAATAAAATAAGTGATATTAAGAAATTACAAAATTTTTCCAGATTTCTATATCAATTTAAAAGTTACTTAAAAAAAATCACAGCCATTTGGAACATACTAGAAACTTGGAATACTTGAAAGAAAATAAAAAGCATTTATGACATGACATTAAATTAGTCTTTCTTCTTTTTCTTGCTTTTCTTCTCTTTTCTTGGTCGATTAACTGGTTCTTGCATAGTCATTTGTGGTTGATGTTGCTGCTGTTGTGGAGGAACTAAATTCATATCGAAAGTTGTAGTGCTATTGAGCGGCAATAGGATGGGGGAAAAATATGGCAAACTGCCACAGGGAAAAAACGGATATGGTACATTATTCATGTGGTAGTTAATCGTCGGATTGTTGTAAGTGTGATTGTTGTACTGTTCAGTAACAATTTTCGGGTGTTCTAAAAAAGGCAAAGAAGGCTTTGATGCAGCATAAGGAGGGGGCATTTCCTTCTTCTCAGCAGGTGTCTTAAAGGTTCTTGGTTGTGGTTCTACCAACTTCTCTTGTATTTCAGCTATGCTTATGGCAGGCTTGGCGGGGTAGCTAATATCGTCCTTTTCTGTACCTTCAGCCCTTGCCCTTTTCAAAATCTCTTCTACTAAATCTGGCCCTATCAAGTCGTCCTCGTTGTTTTCTTCTTTAGAATTGGGCACTGACAGCTTTCTTTTTTTTAATGGCAATCTTGTTTCTGGTTCTTCATCCAAAGAATTAATATCCAGTTTGGCCAAAATTTGTTTATAATCTTCAGTCTTATTTTCTGACTTCAATTCTCCTTCATAGTCTTTTTTATCTTCAGGTAGTTGATGTTCGCTAGCATCAGGTTTATTTTCAGTTTCAGGAGAATCCGGTGAACTGTTCCTGAAAGATTCAAAACAGTTCTCCTGGCTGAAAAAACTATCCGGTTGGATGCCATAATTATTACCCATCTGGGAACAATCATTAGGTTCACCACCTAAAAAATGGTTTTCGTTTAATGCAGGCGAGTGTGACAGGAAGATATGGCCAGGAGAATCGGAACAAGGACTGAAGCAATTGATGGGACTAGGGGAAAATCTATTGAGATTCAAATTGTGTAAATCCGATGGTATCGTCAATGGCTTGGCCAGTTCTTCACTCTTCAGAGTTTTCTCGAAATCTTCAAGTTCTGGAACTGCTGCAGGTTGTTGATTCAATGAAGTATTTATGTTACAATCAAAGTCAAGAGCATTTACATTTAAACTGTCAACTGTTTGTTGTTCATTTGAAGATATATCATTACTTTTATCAAGAGTTATAGGATTTAGGCAAAAATCATCTACTGAATTATCACATTTAGCATCAAAGCTTTCTACAATACTGGAAATTATATTCAAATCTAAACTTGTAGAACACCTATCCGGAGATTTGATAATACTAGCTACATAAAAATAGTTCGACTTGCTGGATTCTACTTCTTTAGTTTCTTGGGACAATTTCCTCTTCTTTCTTCTAGCAGGTTTTGAGGAGAAAGGATTAAGACTGGGACAGTTTTGACATTTAGAAATGGAAAAGTTGGGTTCGCAACTCAAATTTAAAATGCTTTCGTAGCGAGTTTTAGTAACATTGAGCTGGGTCAACTCAGTCGTAAGACTGCTACAACAAGCATTCGTACACTGTACAGGAGTACTATTGTAGTCACTATCAGAAAAATCATTAAAAGTTCTGGATGTTACCGTACCTTCTTGAGGAGTGTCGTCTTTCAATTGGAACTTATTGCGCCTCCACTGCCTCGGCGCCGCCGGGTTAGAACCCTCCGGTTGGTTGAAATATACAACGTCATTTTCGTTCAGTTTGCTGGTAGATTTGTCATAGTCTATTCTGACATAAGACATGAAGCTGTTCTGAGATTGTGACTTTTGCAAACGCACTTTTCGTGAAATTGTGCTCACATTCTTCCACTCATCGATTTCTGTCTTACTCAGCCTCTCCACTATGACGCAAGGCACGCCCTGGAGGCAAGGATCATTTGGTTTTACATTGAACCTGGCTAACGACTTCAAGTTCATCATGCGACGTGGAATTCGCGGCCTGGTATTCCTTTTAGGGACAATGTATCGATTGTTTTCTGGATCAATGGGATGTTTTAAGGAACTCTGGAGTTTTGATCTAGAAATTTCAAGAGGTGAATGGATAACAGGGATATCAATGATATCTTCTGCGAAAGTAATCCGTTTCTTTTTAACTGTATTACTTCTCAAGGCGGGAGTATTACTGGGGCGCAAGTCGTTATTATCTAATTGGAATCTAACAGACTTTTTATTCACCATGTGATCACAATTTTTCTTTGCAGAACTACTTGTTTCAACGCTTTCTACGTGCGGGATCTCGACTGTATTATTATTTGCTTTCAAGTTATTCATATAGCTTCGGAAATCATCTGGGTTTTCATAGGACGGAGATGTAATACTAGTAACAGAAGGCTGGCTGGGATATCCAAGCAATGCTTCAGAAGATATCTCTGTTTGTGATTCTTCGTTATCAAACAAATCAAAGGTTTTATCAGGGTTCTCACAGTTGTTGAGACCATTTACTTTTTCAAGCGGTCCACTCCAAATATCATCTATTTCGTGAGATTTCATAATTTTATTCCAAGTCGAATGATTTGAGACAAGCATTTCTTTGTATTCGAAGTTTCTTTTCTGATCTGTTCTAACGGCCCCCGAGGGATCACTAGCGGAAATATGAAAACTTATGTTGGGTTCCGTGTATTTGGGACGTTTTGACTGACAACTTTCAATTATCTTCAAGTCAGTTGCTTCATTCCTAGACAAACTAGTACGAGCTTCACTATAATCAATGTTTTTCGTAATATTATCAACAGTCTCTTCGTCTGTATTATCTTGGTTGTTCAAACCAATAACTACCTCACCATTGGTAGCATCTAAATAATGATGTTCAATCAAGATATCATCACTGCAATCTCCGTTTATGTCAGAATCTCCTTTTTGAGATTGTATGTCTTCTTCTACGACATAGTCTTGATCCTCATTATCAGAAAAACTTTCATTCACACTCCCATACCCCATTTGGTTCTCCTCAGAATCTCCCTTTCTTGTTGAACACTCTGGAAAATGATCATGAGATGTGCTCGAAATGTCAGGTGAAGCTAGTGATGAGTAGGGATCATTGGAATTTTTGTGCTTCAAATTTGGTGAGACAGTGCTGGAAGAAGGAGAATAATCACAGGAAATATCTGATGACGTGCACAAAAGTTTCAAATTTGAATTTATGGATGATGCCAACAAAAAACTATTGGAACTAGGTGCGCATAATCCTACAGATGATAGAGAATTCAAACTGGGGCCATTCAATTGTTTCGATTTGTTTTCCTCCGTGCAACAGCTTTCACTGACGGAGTTTTCAACACGAGAAACATCACCAGAGTTAGCTTCATTCGAAGCACTTTTAATTTCTGAAGCTCCATCAGTTTGTGTTTTGTACTGTTCTGGCGGTGAATGTGGCACATCTTCTGTATCTCTTTCTTCAACTACAGATTTCGGGCTGGAAGTATTTCTGTTATCACTTTTTTCTGTTATGCCATCACTATTGACTGACTTATTAGAGCTGGTTAGGAAGTCAGTATCAGTCATTTGTTCCCGTGTGGAACATGGGCTACTCGGCAGAAATCCTGTATATACATTAGGTGACACCGTTGTATGAATATCGTGATCTTCATGATGTTCATCAGACGGTGGAGTCACCAGCCCTTTGAACATTCTGTAAATATCTTCTGGTTGAGAAAAATCTGTCTGTGTTTCAATGTGACTAACATTTTTTGGAAGGAAAGAGGATGGTTTTTTATTTACATCAGTCGTCTTTTCAAGTGAATTTGCATCAGTGTCATGTTTGTGACTATTATCATTATTTTTCACAGTGCACAAATTTTTTCTCATCAGCGGCCTTCTCCTTTTCATCAGCTTTTTGAAAAGAAATCTCTTTTTTTTCATGGACTCTTTATTGATTCTTTTTCTCGTACGAGGGGGCTTTGTAGAAGGAACTACAAAATCCGAGTTTGAAAATAACATTTTTCTAGGCAACTTATCATTACTAGAAGGTTCTTCAAATTGTTCAATCACCTCCTCCGGAGGCAGTACATCAGGAGATGAAGGTCTCAAGATTGGTACAGGTGATGTGTTATAAGAGGAATGAGATCTGGTATACGATTCTGTTGAAGATGTAGCATTTGATACAGTAAATCCTCTAGATGGAGAAGTTCTATTCTGCAATAAACTAATAGAGTCCAGAAAAGATGTAGCATTTGATACAGAAAATCCTCTAGATGGAGAACTTCTATTCTGCAATAAACTAATAGAGTCCAGAAAGGATGAAGAAGGTTCCACGTTTTTTGTCTGTAACAAAACCAACTGATAAAAAATTTTATCAAGTAATATATTGATTTGATACTCATCGAGTTTACTGATGTTAATAGTTACTGATAGTTTATGGCATAACATTGAGCACACAAATGACAATGGACAGAGAAGAAAATAATTGGGCAACACGATCAGTAGAATTGGAATCTCTGGCAGAGAATGAATCTATTAAAAAAAACTTTTCCAACAAAATACTGTCTTTCGAAGCATGTTTCTCCAAGTAAGTTGACTTCAGATAAACAACACGACCAAAAGACTGACCCCCTCGGGCAGAAACTTTCAACACCAGACTCGATATTTTAAAACTCTTGGATAATGGTAAAACAAGTCTGAATAAATTATGCACAAAGGTAGGATGAAATTCTGTCGACAAGGCAAGAGGCAGGATTTTTTTTGTAGGTTGGCTGTCCTTGTTCATCTTTCACTGCCTGGGCCACTGTGTCTACTATTTTTGCGAGTGCATTGGCTCGGCAGTATTTGTTATTTGAGCTGTGCATTTGACTTTGTCAATCATGAAAAACTAGCTTCAAAATTGGTATATTATGGTATTTTGAGATGTGTTTTTGGGAAAGAAAGTTTTTTGCTTTCTACTACTCCATCTGATACAAAAAAAAGAGGGATGAGAGAATAAGAAAGGAAGGAAGTAATCAATTTGAAAATAAGTAACTCTATACATGGATGTGTAGATCACGCAAAAATTTTTTTTCTTTCGGGTAGTAGAAAGCCAAAAACTTTCTTTCCCAAAAATTAATCAATCCTAAAAATATAACCCCTTCAATTCATATAAGATGTGTTTCACTCAGTTGGATGAATTCTTTTCACCAGAACTGAGATCCATTTGTATCATTGCAAATGACGGAAAATAATAGTACTTTCAAATTTAAAAATGGATGTACTCCATAATTGAAGACAGTAGTTACACGGCCTATATTGATGATTTTTCATTAATTGTATCTGCATTCGATACTAGAATTTTAGAAAATAAATGTTGAGAAGCATTAAATCAAGTATCCAGTTTTTTAATGGACACAATTTATTTTTCGATACAAATAAAACAGGTTATTCGTATTCACAATCAGCAGAAAAAAAATCAAAATCTCCAGTTCAATGTAAATAACATATCTTCAAAAAGTAATGTTAGTAGTGTTAAGTTTTTAGGTATTTATCTGAATATATTCCTGAATTGGAATATAATAATATATAATATAATATAATAATAATCTTTATTCAAAAATAGACATCCTAATATACATCGTCAACATCTGATATCTGAACTCAATTCCCCGATTTCTTTTAATTTAATCGGAATCGACTGCAGCTCAGTTATTAAGTATCTATTATGCTAATGTAGACTCTATAATTAGGTATGTGTTTGTTTCTGGGGAGGAACAACTTCAGCACAGAATGTGTTCATTGCACAAAAGCGCAATGTATGATGCATGGCAAATATTCCCCAAAGATATTCTTGTAGACAATATTAAAAAAAATATATTTCAACTCTAGTGTCAGTCTATATATTTGAAATGTGTGTAATGTGTCCAAAAATAAGTCAAACTCTGGGCCAGAATATATTGGTTCAAAAATTTACAATGATCTTCCTGAATATGTGAAGGCTTCGAACCAACTGTATAATTTTAAAACAAATACTGAAAGCATATCTGTTACAAAGTTGTTATTATACACTAGCAGAACCTTTCAATAATTCTTAGGTCTCTTCTTCTTGTACTATCACCTCATTATTTTTTTAGTATCTCTATTTCACTTTAGAAGTCCGCAAGTTAGTACAAACAAAACATGGTAAACCAATGGTTTCACTTTTTCTTATTTTCTTGTAAGTTGTGTTTCACATCAAACTATTAGTCTTAATAAAAAATATTTTGTTGAACAATCACTTTGTCAACACATACCTGGTCTTTTTTCTCCAAGAATATAATTTCTACGATATCGTCATCTTCATCATCTAAAATTTCATGAACTAGCTTTGAATCACCTTGTTCACAGTCAACGGTACCAACACCAACCAAACAACAGTCGTCTTCTTCCTTTATGGCAGGACTTTCTATGATATCACAACTATCCGATATTCTAGACATGGACTCTATATAATTGTTGTAAGCATGTTCAAATTCTTCGTCTTCATTTGTCACCTGAGAATTAGATAATTTCATAAATTAATCAAATAGACTTGCTTTACTGCCAGCAGAAATAATGGAACAAAGAAGGTTTAAAAGGTTTGCCCATAACTTGCGGTAGTCTCCTATGAACCCTCAAGTCTCCAGGAGAGTCATGCGAGTGAAGAATTCACGAGGTCCTACCTTTCCGAGTTTGATTTGACATTTGAGCAAAATAATCTATGATCTTCTATTTTTCATTGTTTCCATGATATTCAATGTTTTTATTTATGTAAGTTCAAGTTTCAATTTCGAAGTATTTCATAAATTATAGATAGATATTTCATTTTCTCTGAATGTTATAGCACAAATTTTCGATTGATTGATTGATTGATTGATTGATATATATAAGTGTGTTATGTACACTATAAGTTTAGATCAAAGAGTTATACAATGATGATAAAATATAACAGTAAAAGTGAATTGAGTATGGGAGTATAGGTGAAGTTGGGCGCCCACTTTTTTTAAAAATCTCTTTTGATGTTCACAAAAAATTTGAGCAGTATATTCAAGGCAGTTTAAGTTAAATGTACTTTAAAGTTGTCTGTGTTGTTAGGGTCCAATTTGTATAAAACTTGTTTTCTGTTTGATGTTCACAAATATGAGCAGTATATATTCAAGGCAGTTTAAGTTAAATGTACTTTAAAGTGTTCTGCGTCTGTGTTCTTAGGGTCCAATTTGTTTTCTAAATTTCTCTTTGAAAAGCTTAGAGAATTAGTTCGGGGGGCTGGTTTAAAATCCATACCATCAACTTCTTTTTAAATAGGGAACGACTATCGAGTGTTTTATTTCATTTGGGATTCTTCTGTAAATTATCGGGCATAGATGAGAGAGGAATCTTTGGTTTTTTGTAGCTCCAACTTTTGATATTCTGGTTGTTTGGCTTTTCATTCGAGTATTGTATTGATGGTCTATTTGGGGCAGTTCATACTTGTGTTTGTGATGGTAAGATGCAAGATTAAGGAAGTACAGTTGATGGATTGTAAATAGCTTAGATTGTTGGAAGAGTTTATCTGACAGAAATCTGTAGCTTTTATTATACATTATCTTTATCAGCCATTTTTGTGTCACTTCTAGGTTTTTAATATAATTCATGTTACACAAACTAATGTGGAGATATGCAACATATGGAAACCACTAATCAAGCAGGAACGCAGCACTACACTGGGCAAGAAAACCAGAGTAAAAACGGGACAGTGGGAAAAGTGAAAGCGCCCAAGTGACTCATCGCCTCAAGTATCAGGGATAGGCCAGTACGATTGTGTAATAATGAAAACGTCATGAAGTTACTTTAAATTGAACAATTTGAAACAAATTTTGCTGCCACGTGTTTCATACCCAAAATATTTGAAAAAATTTCATGGTATAAGCCAGTCACTATGCCAAAATCATCAGCACCTTCTCTGTTTGTGATTCGGCGATAATTCATAACCGTTTCTTTCATGTTTATACATTTTCATTGGTTGTTGATGTGATGGGGTGTCTTGAGGCGCTCATCTTCAAAGTATTCACAGACATCTTGGAAACACTTAGACCAGTTGTAAACTCTTGTTTTTCTCATAGCAGATACACCATCGGTCTTTGTTAACATTTCACACACTCTGTTATTCTTTAGATCATTTGGAATTACTTTTTTGATTCTTTTGTTTTAACAAACAAAAATCGCCAAGATATTAAAAACACATCAAACCTTAACGGCTGTCACACACAAAGTAAACAATCAATACAGCTGAAAATGTTATCATACTTCAGGGGTACGTATACTAACATAATAAAAAAAATAACAACTGGACTCTCCAAACCCATATTTTGAAAATTAAAAATGTTTAAAAATCATCTACAGTAACTTCAACATTTGAACTAGTCCATACACAGTGTGTTGTTAGATCTACTATAAATAGTCTGTTCAAATTTTCTCCCTGTAATCACCCTGTGATTGTTGCCAAGAAAAAATAATTTATTTATATATAGAGAAGAACACTGTTACTAAAATAGTTTTCATATATGACATCAATTACAAAACCTATTAACTTCATTCAGGTATTTTTTTGGAAATTAAAAATATTTCTTCAAATATTTTACATTTTAATATAAGAATGGTATTATTTGATTTAAAAAAACTATTGTTTTTCATAAAACTGAAATAAGGTGTCACTGAATTTATCAAGATAGTTACCAGAGTCTGTTAAGATGTATAAATTTATCTTACCTCAGTCAATGAACTTCGATCATCAAGATCAATATCATTGAAGTCCGAGATTATGAGACTATCCTCTTGAATATTCTGCGTTTTGATAAATTTGAAATATTCATCAGACATTAATGTATAGTCAATAAGGTGTGATAAAACATCTAAAACCAATTCACTCTGTGGCAACAGAATCCGTTTCAATGTATTATTAGTGGATAAGGAATCTGGTGTCCTGCCATACATTTTGTACATGACTTGATCCATTTGTTTCCACTCTTTCTCTTCACGAATTCTCTTCCACTTCTGATACAAAATATATGCACGACAAAATGCTAAATCAGATTTATTTGTGGGATCTTTGGTTAAAATTTTTCTGAAAATCATTTCACAATGAACAACATTCAATCATAATCAGTAAAAATAACATTCAAACTTACCCATAAATTAAGTTCAATAAATCCTTTGCTTCGTCCGAATAAAGGTTCAACTTAATTTTCATCAAAACGTGGTACAATCGATCTTCTCTATACATTAGATAAGCATTCAATATCTCAATTATTCTGAAACAAATTTTGGATATGGACTTGTTATAAGATCGTTTATTTGGTTCATTTTGCTTGCTTGGCAAGGTTTCGGCTTCTAAATCAGAGTACATTGTCAACAACTCCTCCATATTATCCAAGTAATTATCCGTGAAAGGACACTCAAGTTCATCAAAAAACAGTTTGAAAAACTCGATGTGTTTGAAAAGATATGATTTAACTGCTTCAGAATGATCAAAATGCATGGCTTCTTCCCTAAATGACCTAAAAAAATGTCCTTGTTAATTATGGAAATATAGTGATAGTAATATTATATTTCCAAACGTATAAAGTGATATGATGGAACAGTTATAAGTGCAGAATGTGAAACTTTCACATTCAAATTATTATTTATTATTTCGTTTGATATACTGTTGTACACACATCCCTTTAATTGATTATTTTGCTAACTCAACTAACTAAAGAATAAAGCAAAAAGAATTAGCACCTTTAGCTATGTTAATTATATAACGTGAAAGAGCAGAAAACTCAATTTTAGTATCTTATGATGTATTTAATAATTGTTGCGTTTCACATAAATCAAATTACTTTCATTCACTAATTGTGAATTATGTTTTTAATTGAAATAAATTATACAAAAGGGCAATTTTTACATCGAACCTCTTGAGTTCTCAGCTAGACCACCGTTAGTGGCTAAGTTAGGAACTTTCAGTAACTTATGACAATAAAAGTTTTACTTACTGAATATACCACTTCATAATGATGTCCAAGTCTCTTTCAGTATCAGCAATGAAGAAGTTTTTGAATTTCGTCCTAACTTTATCACTCCATTGAAAAACAATATCCTCCGGTGAAGTATGAGCATCTATAATAAAGAATTCAAACTATATATAAATAATATGAAAAGAGAAAATGTACTATTTGAAATGATACTTTTCTGTAAAGGTATGTTGTGACAAATTTTCTTGATTCGACTATTTAAAAAACAGACTTAAGAAAAATCATATGGGAATATCAGATACAATGAAACTATGTCAGAACGTGAATGTGGGTGTTCTCCTGGTCACAATTTATAGATAGAATTTATAGAAGAATTCTAAACTTTTACAGAACAGCAACATGACATCATGACAGCAACATGACATGTCAGACATGACTCATCAAAACAGTCATCACCCGAAGACGATTGTAGATACTAACAATCGAAACGCCGTGAACTAACGTGACTTGGAATCTCTCCACTTTCTATTTTCATTTTCTTTTTTCATTTCTTTATTTTTATTTATTCAATTGTTCTATTTTTACTTGTAGTTTATTTCACTATCATTCCATTTCAGGTTTATTTTGGTTAATATAATTGTTATTTTCAGCTATTCATTTTCAATTCTTCTTTTTTAGTTGTTTCAGATATTTCAAATCATTTTATATAGTAGACAATGGAAGTCCGAACTAGTGAAATTCATATATCCATGATTCGTCACCAGTTATGGCCCTTTTAAGAAAATCTGGATCGCCGTTAACGTCATTCAACAATTCCTGAGCGATGCTCATGCAACGTTCTTTTTTCAGCAATTTTCCATAACAATTTTCTTCACTTTCTGGAGCGTCCAGGGTAAGCATCGTCATTCACATTTTCCTGACTTATAAATATTTTTCTGATTCGGAGTACAATTACCATATGTCACTGTCGACATTTCAAGTGTTTCTGAGCACACAATTCCATTTGTTACAAAAAAATTGATCAAAATTTTTTGATCCATTTTTTTTCGATAACAGAGAATCGGCGAACTTTTAAAATACTTCTAACTTTTATGCCTCTCACCAACAAAATCAATATTTTTAAACAGCTGAAACTGTGAATATGTGTTCGAGACGAGTGTACCAACACGAAATTTGAACATACACCTATTTTTTGAACAGACCTCATAGACTGCAAGCTAATGTTGAAATTAAAGGGGGTCATTCGAGACCTCTTGAAAATGTATACCTTCAGTTGTGGTGGTACATTTCGAAATCTTGGATGAGTGAAAACAAAAACTCAATAATTTGTCAAAAGTTCTTGTTCGGTTTTTATAAATAACGATACCAATTACGACTGGGATTTTTCCTAACCAAATGTACAAAAAATGAAACAGGACATGCAAAAAAAAATCCGGAATTTACAAGAGTGATAAATTCCTGTATAGAGCTTTCGTGAAATTGATTTTTTTCAAAAACTGTCATGCCATATAAATTAATCGTTTTATGAGGAGGTAAATGTAAGATCAACTGTACAAAAATAACCTAATTTATATCGCATAACAAAACAAAAGTTTTCAATATGACAAACTAATTTCACAAAAGTTGTTCAGGAATTTATCACCTTTGCATATATAGAAGTATCTTTGAAAACAACTCAAAGTTTTCCTGTCACATTTTTTTAGCAAAGATTGGATATGAAAAATCCTAGTTGTAATTAATATCTAATTTTATAAAAACTGTACAAGAAGTTTAGGCAAAATACCTCCAACTTGTGTTATTGTTTTCAGTCTCACATGCACCATCTACAAATGAAATCATAAAGCTTAAACTCATTTTCTACTTCACAACTTTAAAAATCATATATTGTCGAGAATTATTATATGACCTCCAAAAATTTCAACATGGGTTTGTGGTCTACTACTTATAGCAGGGGAGGCCTGAATGGTAAATTTGCAGTTACTAGAGCGTCACGGGGACCTATTAGATTGTGAAGAGTAGGTTTTATATTAAGTTTTCTATTTTAGTGGGGGAAAGAGCGTGGAGAAAATTTAAAAAATACAGTTACATGGAAATACTCGAGTGCGTCAGATATTATTAGTGTATATTTGCTTTGTCTTTATGATAACAGATAGATATGAATCTGACGATTAAATAGGGGGTTGGATGCGAAAAGTGGTAAAAAAAAAGTTATTCTAGCATGTCAGACACTGAAAGGGAACGTTCAGTGAGATCAAAACAGTGTTGGATTTGAATTACTGACGATTAGGACGTGACCTACACTCATGACTGATTTTTCAAAATGTTAAAAAATGCCAACTTAAAATACCCAAGCGTGTTAGATGTTTCTACTGTGGGTTCCACCTGAAGTCGCTCTAAATGATAATTAGACAATTATATAAATGGATATTGGAAACCTGATAAATAAAAAAAAAATTAATGTGACAGTTTTTGAATAAAATAATATTTTTTTTGTTCCTTCTGTTTATTACTGGATGAAATAAAGTAATGTACATATATACATATATAGAAGTTATCATTGATAAAAAAGTATATAACAAATATAATTAAAGAAAAATTATGTAATCTTCATTATCACTGGATTTGTCTCCAAGGTTGGTTTCCACTTCTTCAACTTCCTCGTCATCCCGTGTTTCTGTAAGCAAAAATGCTAATGGTACTTCAGAATCTGTCATTAATTTTATGATATAAGGAAATGTACCTGAATTCGAAGTTTCTTCGAAAATGTCAGGTGTTATGGCGATACCATCGTATGCTTAGGGAAGTTGGTTTCTAACGAGCCAAGTCGGTTCTAATTTTCCATCCACATTTTTTCGTTCGCAGTTTGTTGGTGATATCTCCATAACAATACACCATAACAATCTCCATAACAATATAACGCAAACAGGTAACCAAAATAAAGAATTCAGTGTCATCATCTCGCGATGTCGTTTTCGGGGTACCTCAGGGAATTGTTTTGGGTTGTGATTTCATGAATCTTTTTGCAGACGAAACTTTATCAATTTCAGGAGATAATATAGAAACACTAGCTGATCAAACAAATAATGAACTAAGAAATGTTTTCAATTACATGAATATCATTTTATGTCATTTATTTATATATTTTTAAAATAATGTATGTATATTAGGATGCCCTAAAGAAATCAATAAATGTTATTATTATTATAATTACGTACATTAAATGAGAAGGGGTGAGACGTATCAGTTACTTTGAATGTTTTATTGAATATTTCCATCCTAGCACTGTTGACATCAGCTAGTTTCTTCAATAAGTACAAATGGCAGATGAAAGATTCCACGGTGAGAGATAATTCTTCAGTATCATAAGCTTCACATCCCAAGTTTGTAAATGCTGTTTGTTAAGTTTCAGATCCGATTAAAATTTCTAAAGGCCTTTTTTGCAATATCTGTAAAAAGCTGGGTTTAAATCACATCCAGTGAGCGCATGCATATTTGGTAGTACTTGTGAAACAAGTGGGACCAATTTAGCAAAGTAATCCTGATAGAATTGCCTTCAAAATAAAAAAAATATTCGCGCTCGAGTACTTCTCTGTGACTTTTTTTTATGACTTTGTGACTCCCCCATTTCCTTATGTCATGCTCAAATTGTCTCATTACTGAAATACATACTTTTCTAGATGTACTTAACTTACCTGTTCTTAATATGATTCACTTGAGTTTTTCTGAGGATCGATTTTTTTTACTAATCTGACGGGCTGCCCTCAACGCACGCCACTATATTTATAGTTCATATTTGGTAGGGGTATATTACAGGGTGCAAGGTTTCTTCACAAATGATTTTCTGACGCGCTCGAGTGACACGCAAAATCCCCGCTTGGGCTCACCTACTATTAAGTGTGTTTTTGTTTTCGGGTTCAAAAGTTGCATTCATGTTCACCATTGAAAAAATGGTGGCCTTTTCGAAAAAGACGACATGGCTTGAATCACTTTTATTTCACAAATTGGTAGAAATAATACCTGTTTATCTACATTTCATCCAGATAAAATAGCTTATTTCAATTAGAAGGAATACTTAACCCATAACAGACTGGCGTTGCCATATGGCAATGCTTATCTACCTGACATCTATACTGTTTTTTGAAAAGAACATAATCCATTTTTACAGTTTTCTGCTATGGTGCAGTTCACGAATTGTTTACGTTACTTCTAAATAAGAGTAGATGACTCTGGCATGCTTCTTTCCCTTAGTGTGATTGAATATTCTAGCGTGTTATATTTGCTGACTGCAAAATGGATATAAACTTCATGTAGGTACAACAAAATATCTTCTGTTATGGTCTAAAGTAGCATGCAAATCTAAATAAATGATGATTTTCCATACAAATAGCACTTTTGACTGAAATAATCCGCTAATTAAATATTTAGTTGATTCCTAACCTCAGAATTGCCATATGGCAATGCTAGGCTTCACAGGCTGCATGTTTATATGATGTTCCTTTTCGTTGTTAGAGATGGGTTAACTCTGGAAGAAGCATTGCAAATGGCTTATTCAGACGACCTCGATGTTCGAAACATCTTTATAGAACCGCCAGATGTGAATGAATTGACTGATTCTGGCGAGGAGGATGAAGGAGGGCTTGTTGACAATTTGTCAAGAAATCAACTGAAGGCATCCGCTCAGTTAGAAGTTTTTCAAAACGATTCCCTCGAAGATGACGAACCAATTACTCTCGACGAACATAATGAGGGGATGCGCGAAAATTTTGTAGAAGGAAACAATCGAGAAGAAACTGTTTTCACGCAAGCAGAAAAAATTGATTATGACAAAATTGAATGGATCGAAGGTGATCTTATAATGACGGCGAAAGAATTTCCTAAGGGAAATTATGAGAATTTCAAAACTTTCACGCCTGTCGAAATCTTCGAACTGTTCTTTGATGATGACATGATTAATTTTTTCTTGGAAGAGACGACAAGATATGCCCTTTTCAAAAATCATCCCAATCCCCAAATAACTCGAGAGGAAATGCGGTGTTTTCTCGCAATCCTAATATTGTCTGGATATAACTGGATGCCAGGCAAAAAATAATTTTGGGATACTGCTGGAGATTTGGACAACCAATTGGTTATAGAGGCAATGAGAAGAGATCGGTTTTTGACAATTTGGAAATATTTCTATTTAGCAAATAATAATGATATCGATCAATCCGAAAAGTACTACAAATTGCGACCACTCGTAGAAAAATTGCAAGCCAAATTTATGAAATATTACGTACCCGAGAGAGATTTGAATTAAGATGAATCCATGGTAAAATATTTTGGTAGGCATTCATGTAAACAATATATAAAGAGAAAACCAATACGTTTTGGGTACAAGGTTTGGTGTATCAATGGTACAAGCGGATATCTTGCGAATTTCATGATATATCAAGGAAAGGATCCAAAATATAATGACAATTATAATGCGGTGTTTGGAACTTCTTCTGCACCATTTGTCACATTATTGAACGAGATGCCTGAGGAGAAACGAAATCTACGATATTCTCTATTTTGTGATAACCTCTTCACTAGTTTCCATCTATTGACTCAACTCAAACAAATGGGATATGATGCAACAGGCACAATTAGAGAAAACCGTATCCCAAAAAGCTGTCCTCTAATTTCGAAAAAAGCTATGAAAAAGAAGAACAGGGGAGAAGTCGGTTATGTATTGGATAAGCAAAATGGAATTATATTGGTGAGGTGGGTTGATAACAATTCTGATGGAGTATCTCCAATGGGCAGCGTCAAACGATATTCCAAGGTAGAAAAGAAAAACATCAACATCCGAAGACCTTGTGTGATTGGAAAATACAATTCATCAATGGGTGGCACAGACTTGATGGATGAGAACATTTCCCGTTATAGAATTGAATTACGATAAAAAAAATGGTGGTGGTGTCTCTTCACCTGGTTAATAGATGCTACTTTACAAAACGCTTGGATTTTACATAAGAAAGCAGGAAATAATTTGACTCATCTGCAATTCAGGAGAGAGATTGTCAAAGCATACCTCATAAAATATCGCAATCCTCGGAAACCTGGTGGCAGGCCATCAAGCAGTGCATCAAGTAGATCTTTTAGCCGTATTTCTGATGACATAAGATTTGATAATGTGGGACATTATCTGACTTCTGTACCAAATAATAAGAAAAAAAATTGTGCTGGTGAACAATGCAAGTCAATTATGAGAACAATGTGTATCAAATGTGGCGTAGGGCTTTGCCTAAAATGCAATTTATTGTTCCATACCCGTTTGTAAATCTTCCTGACAATTCTGACATTTTTTCAATAAAAACCTTTCATTCAAGTCGTTATTTTACTAATTCTGCACCAGAAGACCACATCCACCCAATGCCTAGCATTGCCATATGGCAACCAGCAATATTTTGAAGAAAAATGCATATTTCAATAATTGGTTTGTCATTTTCTTGATCACTAGAATTAATTGAAGCACTTTAACTTGAAATTATCATTTTTTTGAAAAACAAGAAAACTCCGTCCCTGATGAGTTAAGGCAACACAGTACACAAAAATATTTGATTGATGACTTAACCATTAAATAATGCTTTACACGATTTCAATGAGAGGTGAAAGAATTTCAAAAGATTAACATACATTTTGTATATAAATTGATATTTTTTCCTCTTACCCAAGTCGATGGTATTAGATTCTTCCTCCAATTTGATGACTGTCGGTAATGGTACTTGCACCTCCATTTTCAACTTATATTGATTGACAGGAACACGAAAAGTTTTTCTCTCAACTAAGACATTTTATGATAAGAAACGAGCAATCTGAAACAAAGTAGTCACTATAATAATTATTTGTAATATAAAATTAAAATTATTCATTTTGGGTGTTTTTTACTCTATGAATTAGCCACATAAAGCTTCTTGTGCTAGTAATGTTATCGCCTATTTTGATAACAATGATACATCGAATTGACTGTCAATTTTCAAGTGTTTTTTATAAACTTATTGTTAAAGTGCAGTAGCTACTTCCTTGAATGTTTACAGTTTTCATTAATAATGAGAACATTTATTTCATTACAATTTTCATTATTAGACTTAGTATATGTTTTTAATGCAGAAAAGGGCTATCAGGTACTTGTGTAAAGCGAAATGGCGGGATTCATTTAAACTCCTTTTTCGTGAACATAATCCTTACAGTTATTTCAATATTTATATTGGAAACCGTGTCAATTATACATAAAAATAGGGAGAACTATGAATCTACAGCTACAGCCACATATCCCACAAGACGGTCAAATGAAGTGAATCTACTAATTCCAAAAACAATTTTGGTTAAAAAAAACTCGTTGATATATATATAATGGAATCAGGATAAACTTCCCAATGAAATCAAAGAGACTCCTTTCATCATATTCAGAAAGAAATGTACAAAACTATCAAGTGATGAAGCTTATTATGACCTACAAGAATATTTTGACGATGTCCTGTAATTTAGAATGTGTGGAAATTGCGGTTGTACTGTGTGTGAAAACCATATTTTTTATTCGTTGTCCTAGTTCTCGTCATGTAACCTTTGCATATGTATGTATATAAAGTTCATATTTTATTTTAATCATTTACATTTTATACTTCACATCTTATACTTCATGTTTATATTAATATTTATTTATGCCATTGTGTTTGTAACACGAATTTTATTTTTAAAACTTTTATAAAAAATGTTGTTTTGAACATTCAGATAAAATGAAGATAACCACACCCCATATTTGAAACTCGTTTACTCCAAATTGGAGTAATTTTGATCCTTTTTATCATTCTTTGAACTCTTTCAAACTTCCACTATATCATATTTTTTGATACTAACTTTACAGAAATGTATTAGCGGTATCACTTTTTTGGGCATTATTTTTTTCATCTATTCTCTAACTCTTTAATTTACGGTAAAGTCACTTACCCAATTTGTTTTTCAAAAATAAACTTTGTTTAGAAATCATGATAGGGAAATACCAACAAAAGAAACAAAAGTGATTCAAATTTATCAACTAACTAGAGGTTCTCCCAATCTAAGGGGAAGCCCTCAAATGTGCTGACGGTGCTGAAGCATTTCCAGTAACTGCTTCAGTTTAGTGGCTGATGCAATTCTTTGTTATTATTGCGCAATCCTTCAACAAAGGTAGACAAAAAAAAAGTATTCTATTATACTCTGTTCCAAGACAAAAACGGCCAGTATGGAAAAATTTGGAACAGTGAGGGGATACAAAGTGTGTGAAACTAAAAAAGGGGGCCTTTTAAAGCTTATTCAAATGACTTTTGAAATTTATTCAACTCCAATTAGTTTCGTTGAGTTGTCAATTTCTTTCGTGTTAATTTTTTTATGGCGTTCTTTGAGAAGATAATTGAAAAAAAAACACTTTTTCATTGCCACTTTTCAAACTGTATTAGATAGTGTTCACATACTTTGAATACGACTTTTTTTCTATGAGATACCCTTATCAATTTAATTTTTTTTATATGGACTGGAAAAAGAATTATCTGGTTAACTTTTTCATAATTTAACCTTGATGTATTGTTATATATTTTTTTTCCTTCGAATTGGGTATACTTGTTCACATGAATTATGTTGAACACATTGCAAATAGTGAATAAATGGTAATAAAATCAATGTAAATTGAAAATTATGAAACTGGTGAAGGAATTAAATTTGGCTCCTACATTAGCAGAACCCCATGATTGAAAAATAATAAGCCATGGAAAATCAGTTATAGAAGGAATGTGGGACCTAGAGTGAGCTTGAAATTATGGCATAATATGATTAGATAAAATGATTTTTTTCGTTGATTACATTCTGTTACCTTAACGTTGAGTTAGTGTAACTTTTGATACCTCCGTTGAGTGAAAATAAAAAATATAGGAATTGGGTACAAAATTAGTCTAACATTATGGCCAAAATGTGGTTCTGTTTACTTAGCAGAGGTGGAACCTATCCGGGGGGTTTCACAGATGTGAAACAGTATTTTTTGATAAGGAAGACAATAATGTTGCATAACTTGTCGACGGGTGGCACCAATTCTTCAATTCAAATGGAAAGGGTTTTGTGATACCTGGTTTGCTAGGTATTTCAATTCAAATGAAACATGGAAATTTTATTTATTCACGACCAAATTTACACCAAAAAAGTATGTTATTTTCAGAGCGTATTTTTTTGCACATAGCTTTGTGAATTCTCAAGATGTTGATTACCCACCAACATATTCTTATAGCTACCAAAAGGCACATTTGAAAAAAATCCTAGCTCAATCAAGAGTCAAGTTTTTTTTCCAAAATTCGCCACTCTTTTAATTATGAGTATCAAGGGCCAAAATTTTCAAGAAATCTAGTGAAATACTCGAACTTTATGACGCTATAAAAACTTTTGAAAACTCACAATCCCCACAATAGTGGGGATAGTGGCTTCAAGATCGTGCACGGCTGAATAAATGACTTCAAAATTGCGACGATCTTAGCCAATTCTGAACGAATTATTAAGTTTTTTTTTTATTTATCGACCTTCGAATCATAATGGAGAATTTAATACACGTGTGGAAAGGGCAAACTTTTTAGTTCACCCCAATAAGTTATTACGCAAATTCAAACTATTTTTCTTAATATTTTTCAAGTTTCACTGGATCGACATTTATGTTCAATAAATAATAGAAATAAAATCATGAGCATATGATAATAAAAATATTATTAAAGGTAATTATTATTTAACCATATCACTTCAAAACTTTCAGGAGAATAAAAATTAGTATTTTTTTGGTAATACTAGTGTGCTTTTTTCTGGAGTTTTCTTTAAAATTCATTACAGAAAGGTATCTGTAAAGTTAGAAACTTGTATATGAATAATTACATACGTACAACTTGCAGTGTGTTTCCATCGATTAATGATTATATTCTTAAGGTAATGACTCAATTACCTTTTATTCAAAAAGAAGTAATTATAAAAATGCTAGCAAAGTTTTGTGATGCAAATGGAGCTGTAAGCAAAGTTTTAATATTTATTTTAAAATGATATTACATTCGAACCATGCTCCAAGGCGTGGTGGATTTGACTTTTTATTAGCTGCCCTATAAATTTATAATCAATAGCTTTTATTTCCTCCAAACCATGCTTTATGGCACAGCCAAAACCTTAATATTACTGTCAATTTTGCTGTCCTCTCAATTCCAAATAAAAAATACTTTCAAACTTCAATGTTCTTCTGTTTTGAGTGTACAGAAAGCTCTCTGCAAAGTTTCAAATTGAAATTTCAAAAATTGAATCAGCAATGGAGTTTTTCTTGGAATTTTTGAAGTCAATTTTCAAGTGCACATGTTACTACAACAATTATTCATTTTTGTCAAAATTCAATATGGCTTATGTTATTTTTTAAATGAGTTACCCCAGATTTTAAAAAAAGAATCATGAAAATCGGTCCAGAATTGAGAAAGATATGGATTTTTTTCCGAGCATCGCATCTTTTAAGAAATTTATTCAGCCGCGCGCGAACGATTCTTTTGAGTAAAGCTCTCTAAGGGACATATAAATGCCAAATTTAAGCCCTATAGGCGCGATTTTGGCAAAATGAAAAATATTTGAAATTTTCGTCATATTGAATTTTTGATTGCTTATATCTGGCCAAGTTTTCGTTGCACTTTCAATCAAAATTCCACATAAGGACCACCTTAAAAAGATCTACTGACCCTGAGATTTTAGTGGAGCTATTTAAAAAACTTTCTTTTAATGCTGTTATATCCGAAAATATTTTATCTAGGAAACCACACAGGTTGACAACCACACAGGTTGATAAATCTTGATAAGAGTTTTAAGAGATATAAATCTTTGTAATCATAATTGTATATTGTGCCTCTAAGTGCATGGAGTGTGTATTTTTTATTTTGTATTAGTACACGTTTTGACATACTCAATGTCATCTCTAGATGATCCAACTGAATGATTATTATTATTGTTCTCTACATGTAAGTTGAATCTGTAAGATGAGTATCATTAGTATCTATGTTGGGTAAATGAAATATTGCTATCAAAGAGGATTCTGGGTTGGTAATAATAATGATTGATATGCTTATTGTAGAAAGAATCAATATCATTGGCAAAGCTGTGATAAATATTATTTTGCATTAAAAAAACAAAACATAGGTACCTAAACTATATCCATCCATGAATTGTTTCCATTGATGAGGAAGATAAGATTTTTTTTATAATCACTTGATCATTTTTACATTACAATGCTTTCAGGTTCTGGAGAGAAGATAGATTAGTGATAACTTTCATGATGTCATTAATTAAAATTGCCTGAAGGTTTTTAATATTTCCATTCCAAATTGGTAAAACATTTGTTGAGCTCTATTTTGATAGTGGTTCTAGTTCTAGGCATTTTTCTCCAACCGACAACTTATGATACTGATAAATAATTAATTATAATCATTACACTCAGAAAACAGGCTCGAAATTCAGGTATAAAAGAGTTTTGATATGAACTACAACTGAGGAGGAATATGAATATATCTTCATCATTTGTCATTTATTATTCAAGCCTTCAATTTTTTATCTGGAGTGAATTGAAAGTTCAAAAGTGAAACAGTGACCAATTCATTTCGAATTATTAGAGGTAAGAAACAGTACCACCTAAATGAACCTTATTACTCATTAGTGGTATGAAAATCTTGGAGCTCACCAGTGTACTCTTCATGAAGTTCTGCTAGAGAAAGAAAAATGTGCGAAATACAATCCAGGAAAACATAAAAAGTTTTATTACCCCTCGAGAATGCAAAATGCTGAAATTGATAACCAAAACTTGTAAATAAAGTAAAATTTATTTTTGTTTTGGAGCGAATGGGCGATAGAAAACAAAAATGGCTGCCAATTCGATAGTGTGCCCTGCTAACATAATCACAAAAAACACCAATCACTTATATTTGAAGATCACACACTCACAATTATGCATTGTCATGTATGAAGGCATCTAACCATTAATTGAGGAATATAACAATAAATTATCGAATGATTGTCTATAAAAATCTCAACACCTCTCCTCACTTCACTTCTCTTATTTTTCTGAAGTGTCGCCAACATACCAATATAAATCTTCATTTTCCACCAAATTGCGCGCATACAACTGCGCTTTACTTAGACAATGATGGACATATTTCACATTTCAAAAGTACTGATTAGTGTTCGTTTGATATATGTTCATAATAAACCGGCTAGTTCCCTTAAAGACAAATACTCTTCAAAAGTGTGTAGCATTTTTGGTTGCAGCTCTTTCAAAAGGGGTAACTATTTTTATTAGCAGGTGTACGCAGTGTTGACGTTTTGGTACCTAAAGATATGTTCCAAAAATAACCACATCCTAATCGTTACTAACCGGAATTTTTGACAGCAATTATTTGAAAAATATGTTGGTTACTTTTGGAAATGGACGGATGTGTAAATTGTGACATTGATAAGTCAATTGATAAATTATTTTCAATGCGAAAATTGGAAACCACACACTGTCACCACATTTAGTTGATCATCCGTTTTAAGTTCTGGTGAATCGACGGAGAAAGATGAAAATCATAGACATTGAAGCCGTGAGCTAACGATAAAAATATCTTTGTATCCATAGCTTCAGTCTGTTATCAACCGCATTCGATAAAACAAATGATTGGCAATTGTAGATATGGATACTAATTTTAGTTGGTTTTTGAGATTGGTTTTAGTACACTTTTGCGTTCTTTAAGGATATATGCACATTTTGATGTAAAAACGAAGTTCAGTTCCTCATCATAAGTGATTTGCTATTCAATAATTTTCAAATGTTATAATAAAGGACCTGAGTTCATTGGTCCACGTAAAATGAAACATCAGCAGAAAAGGACAAAAAAAATTAAGTGAACAAAAACAAGACGTCTTCAATATTATTAGTTTGGAAGTTTACTAATTTTCCCCCTTGGTTTATGCTAGGTTTTTATGGGTTTCCTGATAATTGTCCGAATAAACCTGTTTGAAACTAAATTAACTCATTAGTTTCATTACCCGAATGAGATACTAATTGACAATCGGAACTGTTCAGTATCAAAAAGTATCTGAGTCAATACAATTTTATGAAACTGGTTATGATGGAATGCTATGAATGTGAGGCATAACAGAAAACATGATTTTCCACTCTCCTATTACGGAAACTATTTGGTTCAGAAAGTTTTTTGTATTTCTCACAGAAACGTGAAAGTGAGCGTGGTAACTTTTGACAATCACCTGTTCGATTATTCCAAAAATTGTCATTCTTCCAGAATAAAACCATCAGATAATATTTTAACGTTTGGTTCGCCCGTTTTCAGGAAACTGTGTTCTATATCTAATCGGTTTTTCAGTAGAACCTTTGTTAATAATCTACATACAAAGGTAGAACCACAAAAGCAGATATTTTAGAAATGCCGAAATACATTTCGAGTTACTTTTAGTACAGTATATTTTCAAAAACTAAAGATTATAGGTAAGTGAACAGATCTTATCTGGTTTTCAGTTCGTAAGATTTTGGATTGTTTGAAATCGATGAAACAGTTGGATACTGAAATAATCTATAATAAACCAGAACAGGTCTATTCCACTATTTAAAGTTTAAAACAGTTTTACGCAAGTTCCTCCACTCATGGAATAACTCGTGCCTATACAATACATGTATTTTGAATCGGGTATCGTACTATCCTTTTCTGCGTACAACTTATATAGAGGGGGGGTGGCGGGTAATAAGAGGTTATGGAGAATTTGTTTACATTTGAAGTAAGTTGGACCATAAAACAATTTCGGTTGGTTTAGTTGATAATCGGAGGGATATATATTTATGAAATAAATCATTTCAGGTGAAAATGTATTCTGTTCAAATAGCTCCTACAGGAAATCTGATTTATTATTGATGATTATGGAAATGAGACCAGTTTTTCTACCACCTACTAGATTTTTATTTATGTATAGCTTTATAATAAAGCGGGTGGTTTACTGGGTTAAAATTAAATTAGAAATCATTAATATTTATAATTACGATTGAGGTTTGATATTATTATGTGATTTAATTCAAAATTGGTATCTAGGGGTCTTTGTGGACCGACATTATGTTTTTTTTTTCAAAAATTCATGCTGACGAATTCTATAATTACGAAAAATCAATAATGCAAATGAAAAAAACTGTATTCAAAAATGAAAAATATAGTTCTCATATGTGTGCCATATAGGTTCTATTCATTCTGTGATCAACAGATTAAAAAGCTTTCTGCTCAATGTTCAGTTTGTATACTAAATAGTTATTCTGGTGCAACCGGTGTTGAATCTGTTATTGCTCACTTAAGAGTTGTTAAGTGAGCAATAAGAATGAGATTAAAAAAAAATATCATTAAAAACATCAAAAATACCCCCTTTAATAATGTCGGTCCACAAAGACCCTTAGATATAAATTTTGAATGAAATCACATAATAATATATCAAACCTCAATCGTAATTATAAATATTCATGATTTCTAATCGAAAATTCTTTATATCGGACCTCACAAAACTTACCGCTTTTGTTGATCTGAGAATAAATCACAAATTTCTTCATTTGATTTTATGAAATTTACATTTATCATTTTTATGAATCATTTCATTTGAAATAATTAATTTTAACCGAGTAAACCATGCGCTTTATTATGAAGCCATACATGAATAAAAATCTAGTGGGTGGTAGAAAAACTGGCCTCATTTCCATAATCATTAATAATAAATCAGATTTCCTGTAGAAACTATTTAAACAGAATACATTTTCACCTGAAATGATTTATGTTATAAATATGTAATATCCCTCCGATTATCAACTAAACCAACCGCCATTGTTTTATGGTCCAACCTCAGAGTAATAAAAAATAAGTAGAGATGCCCTCCGTATATAAATACAACAGATTTGTATACAACCAGGCTATCCATATCTCTCACAGTAAAATGTGGACAAGGGGACTAAGGGAATTGTTTACATAATCCTCTGGACTGGATACAGGGGCGTGCGGAAAATATGTTAAGAAATTGTTTGGGTCAATTTTGAACCACTTCCAGTAAAACTTAAATTTGACTAGTATTCATCATTTGGGTTACAAAGCATTAAGTTTTTAATTAAAAAAAAACAAGACGATGGACGAATTTTGTGAATCAATATCAGATTTGAAATTAATAAGTTTATTTTGATTTTTGGGCTCGGAGATTATGAATGTTCACGTAAAGAATCAATATTACGGACGAGTTTGTGATTTATGGTACGAGATTTTATGCAAAATTAGTATTTAGGGGTTTCTGTGGTAGATCATTAATTTTTTATGAAAATTCAAGATGCGGGCGAGTTTTGTAATTTATGGTCAGATTCTATTCAAAATTAATATCTAAAAGGCTTGTAAGGTCGGAGATTAAGAATTTTGGATTTCACTAGTTCGGACTTCCATTGTCTAATATATAAAATGATTTGAAATCCCTGAAACAAATGCGAGCGCTTTCGACAGTTGGTAGTACTGTCATCTTCTGGCACTGCTCAAACTCAGGAGTGCCAACATGTAAGGATTGCGAAAATCCACAAACAACGCAGGTTTTCACCATCTTCAAAATTAGTTTTTGCACTACAAATTAATTATATCGGTCAATAAGCACTCAAATCACCAAAATAACTTCAAAAAACGACGAAATATTGGTATTATCTATTTTTGATAGTTGGAGGAATGTCGTAAACATGAACAAAGAAATTTGGCTTCCGAAACAAGGACAGAAAGGCATCTCTATTTATATCATTACTCTGAGGGTCCAACTTACTTCTCGTAAACAAAGTTATGCTGCCTTCAATGTAAGGATGGAAAAGGCCTCTCAATTGTCTTTTGTTACTCTGAGATTACATCGTGTCTTTGAGCCAAAGTGTAGTAGAATTTTTAAATTCATCAATACACACAAATAATTTTTTGTTTGATGAATTATAGTTGCGATATTCACCATGTTCTAAAATCAAATGATGATTTGATAGGGTAATCAATAATCCTGAAAAGCTAGGTATTTATATGTATCAATCAATGAAATAAAATACAAGCAACAAACAAAAAATAAAAATAAAAAAATGAACTATTAACACGAGATGAAAATTAATTTTTTTTAACAAGAAATGAAAATTAAAAGATTCCAAACCAAGTTGCTTCACGACGTTTCGATTGTTAGTATCCACAATCATCTTCGGATGATGACTGGACTTATTCTGCACGTCGTCTTGAGTTTGTTCAGGTTGGAGCCCAGCTCCCTTACCCTTTTGGCTGATATTTGTCGAAGAAGGACAAATGGGTTCATGACTGAGGGGATGTTGACGGCATGAAGTCCTCAGACATCAGTGCCGCCCTTCATGGGGTACCCCTACCTGGTTGGGGTGGGATGGATGAAAGATCTGTTCATCCTTTAACGGGGGACATGAGGGTCTCATTCGACAGAGTGTCGGGGCCTTCTATATCGGGAGGGGTCGTCTACAGCATAATCTATAGCTTCCCTGACTAACGGATTTTCGTGAGTTTCCGCACCTTCACTCGCCGATTCCTCGTCTGAATAGAATGCCGAATGGAAGGCAGCTTCAAATCTCTGCGGATGGCTTCATTCCGCACGAACCAAGGAGCATTCACAATCACCCTCATTAGTTTATTTTGCAATACCTCCAGAATGGAGATATTATATTTCGCCGCTTGACTTCTTTGACTTAACGCACATATATGTGCGGGTTCCAAGTGTGCCTACGGTCTATTAGAAGGCCGAGGTACTTTATCCGCGCTTGCCAGTCAATATCCCTTCCAGGGATTCTCACTTTTCTGGCCGGAGAAGATAGCAATCTTCTTATCTTATCGCCGGAGTCTTGTCCGGGTTCACTCGGATCTTCCAATCGAGGTATCAGCGCTCGAAGTCGTCCAATGCACGTTGCATATAGACGACGCCGAACTCTCGACCCATGGAAGACGAGAGGAGAGCCGTGTCATCGGCGTATAGGGATATCTTCACACGCTGGGGCCTCGGAAGGTCACTGGTGTAAAGTGAATATAACGTCGGAGA